ATGCTGATGACTCTAGTGTGCTTCCAGCTTATTACTCACTATTGCCTAGTGTAGGTGTGCCTAGCGTAGTCTCCCCTGCTGCGTCAGGCGTAGGATCCTCTGCTTTGTGTAGTCTTGGTGCTTCCTCCGTCGTTCTGTCGCCAGAAGCCTCTGCTTCGCTTTCCTTCACCTTGGACTCTGGCGCTTCTCGGTGTTTCTTCCGCGACTCCACCACCCTGACGCCGCTTCCTGTTCCTGCTGCCGTTTCTCTTGCTGACCCCTCCGGCGGCCCGGTAGTCACCCGCAGTTCCACCACCCTTCCCTGTCCGGCGGTTCCTTCGGGCTCACTTACAGGTCTGCATATCCCCTCGTTCTCCAGGAACGTAGTTGGTGTCGGCTGCCTCCAGGACCTTGGCGTCACCACTACGTTCCCTGGTCACGAGCGGTATGCTGTCTGTACCGAGGCCGCCACGGGTGCCCCCCTGTCCACGTTCCCCCGGGACCCGGTGTCCGGCCTGTTCACTCTGGACACTGTGACCCCCCCGGCTGGGGCGCTCCCTCAGGTGCCAGCGTCTACCCAGGTTGCTGCTGCATGCTCCTGTCGGTCCCTCACTCACCCGACACTCCTTTGGCACCACCGCCTAGGTCACCCTGCGCTCCCGCGTCTGCGTCACATGTCCTAGCACGGTCTTGTCCTTGGTCTCCCAGGTTCTCTCCCCGCGTTTCCCTCCTCCCCAGCCCCACCTTGCACGCCTTGTGTCGAGGGTCGGCTTCGCCGTGCCCCTCACTCCTCCTCGTTTCCCCCTACCGTCGCGCCGTTGCAGACCCTGCACCTGGAAGTCTGGGGCCCTGCCCCCACACCTGGGCCGCGTCGAGAGCGCTACTTCCTTGTGCTCGTCGACGACTTCACTCGTTACACCACAGTCTTTCCCCTAGAGGGCAAGGCCGACGTGCCTGGCGCTCTCATCCCCTGGCTTGTCTCTGCGCGTGTCCACCGCGGTCTCCCTGTCTTGCGTCTTCACTCAGACCGTGGTGGCGAGTTTGCCTCAGGTGTCCTTGGTCGCTTTTGTCGTACGGAGGGCATCACCCAGACGTTCACCCTACCGGACTCCCCACAGCAGAATGGGGTCGCTGAGCGACGCATTGGTTTGGTCATGGAGGTGGCTCGCACCTCCATGATCCATGCCGGTGCACCCCATTTTCTGTGGCCGTTCGCTGTTCGCTACGCTTCTCACCAGCTTAACTTGTGGCCGCACCCTCAGCAGCCGCAGGTTTCGCCGACCCGTCTTTGGACTGGGTCTCCTGGTGACGCGTCTGCGTTCCACGTCTGGGGCTGCCTTGCTCACGTCCGTGACGAGTCCGTCTCCTACTACCGTCGCTTCCCCCACCGTGGTCCCCCGGTTACCCCCCCCCTGTTCCTGGTCACTCCTTCCCCGGTAGTCCCTGCCCCTCCTCCTCCTCCTCCCCGTCCCGCCCCCTCTGGTGTGTCCCACGTCACCCCACTTCCGTCGGTGGACCCGGTTGAGGAGTCTTCTGACTCTGGTGGCCCTCCTGTTCAGTCCTCGCCGGCCGCCCCTCCCCTGGCGTCCCCTCCCCAGTCCCCTCCTCCACCGCCCCTGCCGCCGCTGCAGCCGTCGTTGTCGCTGCCGCCGCCGCCGTCGTAGCACCCGTTCGCTGACTCTGGGGGTGCTCGTCCAGGTAGCCCTGGGGGTGGTCCCTCTGGGGGTGCTGGTGTGGAGAGTGCCGGTGGTAGCCGAGGAGCAGCTTGCGGTCCAGGTGTCGCCGTTGTGCCGCCGCAGCAGCAGTCCCCCCCGGTGTCAGCCCTTCGCCTGCTCGGCCTTCCGTCCCCCGACCCTGCGTCGGTCCCTCCCCGCCCGTCTCCTCCTCTTCCTGTCTACGGCCCTGTTTTCCCTCCGCCGGACTCGTCCCCGGCCCGTCTCCCCCCTCGTTCCCCTCCTGTGTCCCCTCCTCTGTCTCCTGACCCGACTCCTCCGTCGCACGTCTGGTCTCACCGTCCCTCCCGTGCGCGTCCTGCCTCGCCTGTCTTGCGCTCCCACCCTATGTTGCTTCGTTCCCACGCGTCTCGTCCTCCCCTTCTACCGTCGCCTCCTCCGTCCTCCCTTGTTGTTGCACCCCCCCCGCTGTCTGACTACCTTCGTGCCGCTCGTCCTCTTGTTCCTCGGGTCCTTGCCTCTCTCGTTACCGACCCGTCTGTTCCCGCCTCGTGCCTTGACGCTCTTGTCGCTGCTGTCGCTGACTTCGCCTCTACCCGCCGCCTTGACTACGCTACCGCTCTGGTCTCTGACCCTGCCTGTCCTCCGTCTGTCGGGGGTGCTCCTGCCCTTGGCAGTGACGTCCTGGAGGACCGCCAGTTCGAGCTTGCTTTCCTCTCCGAGGCTGCTCCCCATCTCTGTTCCATGCTGCTAGTCCCTGAGGGTGACCCAGACGCTTTCGACATCCCGACCCCTCGCACTTACGCTGAGGCGACTTCGGGACCCTGGGCCTCGCAGTGGATAGCTGCCATGGAGCAGGAGATGGCATCTTGGAGATCCACCGGCACCTTCGTCGACGCAGTTCCCCCACCTGGGGTGAACGTAGTCGATGGCCGCTGGCTCTTCAAGATGAAGCGCCCTCCTGGAGAGCCGCCTGTGTTCAAGGCGCGCTATGTGGCCAGAGGCTTCAGTCAGCGCGAGGGGGTGGACTTCTTCCAGACCTTCGCTCCGACCCCGAAGATGACTACTCTTCGAGTTCTGTTACACCTAGCTGCTCAGCGTGACTACGAGCTTCACTCCCTCGACTTCTTCACTGCCTTCCTTCAGGGCAGCCGACACGAGCAGGTCTACCTGCGTCGCCCTCCGGGCTTTACTGGCACCTTCCCTCCTGGTACCCAGTGGCTCCTGCGGCGCCCCGTCTACGGCCTGCGCCAGGCTCCCCGTGAGTGGCACGACACTCTCCGTGCTACCCTTGCTGACCTGCAGTTCTTTCCGTCTTCTGCAGACCCTTCACTCTTCGTTCGTGCTGGCCAGACTCCGTTCTACATCCTTGTTTACGTCGACGACCTGGTCTTTGCCACAGCAGACAGGGACGCACTGGCCTCCGTGAAGGCAGAGCTTCTGAAGAGACACACGTGCACTGACCTTGGAGAACTGCGCCGTTACCTTGGCTTGCAGATCTCCAGGGACAGAGCTGCGCGCACCATCACCCTGACTCAGTCACACTTGGTGCGCCAGGTCCTTCAGAGGTTCAGCCTTCAGTTCTCCTCTGCACAGCCCACCCCTCTGCCTGTAGACCAGAGCTCTCCGCTCCAGTGTCTGAGGAGTTGGTAGAGCCCAGCGGCCCCTACGCAGAGCTGGTGGGTTGCCTCATGTACCTGATGACTTGCACTCGCCCAGATCTCGCATACCCTCTCAGCATCCTGGCTCGCTTTGTGGCCACAGGCAGACACCGACCGCAGCACTGGTCTGCCGCTAAGAGGGTTTTGCGTTATCTTGCTAGTACATCGGGCATGGGGTTAGTGCTAGGAGGACGCAGGCCAGTGGTCCTTACTGGACACACAGACGCTTCGTGGGCAGACGACGCCGAGACACTCAGGTCTACCCAGGGCTACTGCTTCAGCCTTGGCTCAGGTGCCGTCTCTTGGAGAGCTACTCGCTCCTCGTCTGTTGCCTAGTCCAGCTGTGAGGCCGAGATCTACGCTGGTGCCATGGCGGCACAGGAGCTCCGCTGGCTGACCTTCTTGCTCACTGACTTAGGTGAGCGGCCTAGCTCTGCCCCGGTCCTGTTCGCTGACAACAAGGCCATGATCCTCCTGTGTCAGGAGCCTCGACTCGAGGGCAGAGCGAAGCATATTCAGCTACTGTACTTCCTCCTGCGCGAGCTATAGCAGCGACGCCAGGCTCGCGTAGTACACTTGGCCTCAGGTGCCAACACAGCTGATATCTTTACGAAGGCGCTTGCGCCTAAAGATCATCAGCGGCACTGTGTACAGCTTGGTCTAGTTCCTGTAGCCTCTCACTTGCTAGGGCCTTGACTTTGTACTGTCCTTTATATGTATACTCAGACTGGACTTGTGTCCTCTTCCAGTGGCTGGACTAGTAGTGCCGCCCTGGTCTTGTTCTTACCTTGTCTGTACTCCCTCTGACTGGTCTTTTAGACCCTTGTCTCAGAGGTTGGACTAGTAGTGCCGCCCTGAGCTGCTTGTTCAGGACATTCCCCTATGCAGTCTAGGGGGTGTGTCAAACATGTGTAATCGTTATGTTTGTATAGACTGTATAGGGTCACCTCTTAGAGGGTACAATTCGTAGGTATATCTGTCTGTACACTCTCACTAGTCATCATTCAATTCTCTAGTTTTTGATAGTATGTTCTTGTTTTACCGAGCCTGACGAATCAGCCTTACTCGAAATTCGCCCTGAATCTGAATCTTATCTGCCAAGGCGAGCTAGAGCACGCGTGAGGGGCATGGCTGGTCCTTGACCAGAATTACGCAAGTTCGAGGCGAGGTGGGGCAGGTGTGAGGGGCGTGATTGGTCCTTGACCACAATCACGGAACTTCAAGGCGAGCTACAACAGGTGTGGGGGACGTGATTGGTCCTTGACCAGAATCACACAAGTTCCAGGCGAGCTGGAGGAAGTGTGAGGGGGTTGATTGGTCCTTAGTTAAAATCAGGCAGGAATCTGACGAGAAGAATTGTACGCAATGAAGTCCGATCCGACCTACGGTAAGAATCAGAAACTACAAAAATGTAGGCCTGATAAGTCAGACTAAAAAAAACAATTGGCCTGAAAAAACATGCCACGCCCAAAACCCGACCCTGAAAAACATGGGCTCTCACATGGGCGACCCTGAGCAATCAGCCTCCCTAAAACCAATCTGAGGGCCTGCTCGATAACCGCCATTCAACTGTATTCTACAACTGCTTGTTTTCTACTTTCTATATATTGCTGTATGCTTGTTCACTTTAATCAATCACTTGTTCTCATATACTAGTACAAGGGTTCAACTACCTCAACTTCCGCTGCACTACTCAAGTCTTTTACAACTGGGACTTAGTCTCTGGAAAGATCCTAAGGGCATTTTCTCAGCCCAACAGGTGTCAATTCCCGATATGGCGCAACAGGGCTCCTCTTTTTCCTTTGCATACACCGCGTCCTAAGTTAGCTGGTTCATACACTAGGTGTTCAATTGCAGATACCAGTGGATATGATAATACCAGGCCTGGACCGAGCAAGCGCCTGCTGCGTGCACTTGAGCTGTAAGTAATCAGCCGGGCTGATAAAATCTAACAAGTCCATCGAGCAGGAGCTCACGAAGCTAGCTGACAAGCTCCGAGAAAAAACCCAGGGATCCACTCATGTGCCCTGTTGCAATGCGACCCATGCTGCCATGCACACAATGCGAGCTGTCTTTATTCACTGCACCACGGCAGATCCGTGCCGAGCAGCATGTGCCCGTCAGTCGTCGAACTCGGCGCCGTGCTCGAGCAGGTAATTGGCAGCCAGCTCCTCGTTCTTGTCGCAGGCAAAGAAGGCCTCGATCACCAGGTCGCGCTCAAAGCCCATCGCCTCCAGCTGGGGTGGGGAGGGGGGAGGGGGGGAGTGGAGAGGGGGGAGGGGAGGGGGGGAGTGGAGAGGGGGGAGGGAATGCACATGGGCCATAGAAGAAGGCCTCGACCACCAGGTCGCGCTCGAACCCCATCGCTTCCAGCTGGGGGGCGGTGCAGGCAGGGGGCCAGAGGCATGGGCATGGGGCATGCACATGGGGCATGGATATGGGGCATGCACATGGGGCATGCAGATGGGGCATGCACATGGGGCATGCACATGGGGCATGCACATGGGGCATGCAGATGGGGCATAGGTTCACACATGGAACACATTGAGAAGGCCTCCATCAGCAGACCACACTCAGACCCCATGGCCTCCATCAGCAGACCACACTCAGACCCCATGGCCTCCAGATGAACGAATGCACGCACATGGGGGTATGCCATTGGAGCACATGCATGGAGCACATGCATGGAGCACATGCATGGAGCACATGCATGGAGCATATGCATGGAGCACATGCATGGAGCAGATGCATGACGCAATGGCTTCCTGTAGCTACATTTAGCTAGTGTGTACTCTCACCAGCGCTGCGGCCCCGCTCACCCGTGCAATGGCCTCCTGCTCCTCGGGCGTCACTTGAATCGCTCTCACGCCGGGGGGAAGGCCCTCCCCTCCTGCTGCTGCCGCTGCTGCCGCCTCCAGCTGACTCATGAGCTCGCTGTGGGGAGAGGGGGGGGGGGAGGGAGGCGAGGATGGAGGGCATGGGTGTGGGGCAAGGGTAAAGGTGAGGTTGGGCTGCAATGCAGGCGGAACGCAGCGAGAGTGCAGGCCAAGTGTGAGAAAGGCCAGTAAATCAGGGGGGAGAAGAGAGTGGGCGGCACTGACCCTTCGGGCGGCGGCTCGTTGATGAGCTGCAGAAACTCGCTCTGGTGCGCCTGTATGAGCTGCAGCAGCTCGGGGTTCTGCTTGCCCAGCTCCTGCAGCATGGGCTGCCAGGGGGGCGCAGGGCGCACGGAGCAGAGAGCGGCGAGCAGGGAGGGGGAAAGGAAGGGGCTGGGTGGGCTGGGCGCTGAAGGAAAGAGCAGGAAGTGGGCTGGGCGCTGAAGGAAAGAGCAGGAAGTGGGCTGGGCGCTGAAGGAAAGAGCAGGAAGTGGGCTGGGCGCTGAAGGAAAGAGCAGGAAGTGGGCTGGGCGCTGATGGAAAGAGCAGGAAGTGGGCTGGGCGCTGAAGGAAAGAGCAGGAAGTGGGCTGGGCGCTGAAAGGAAGGAGCAGGAAGTCAAAAGTCAAAAGTCAAAAGTCAAAAGGCGCCTCAAAAGTCAAGCCGAACGGGAAGTGCGGACGGGAAAGAGAAGGGGTGGCTGGGCTGGGCGCTGAAGGCAAGGGAGGTGGCAGCGCGGGAGCAGCAGGTAGGTAGTTGCACGGACAGGCAAGGGTTGGTCTTGCAGACAGGCAAGACTTGATTTTGCAGACAGGCAAGGCTTGATTTTGCAGACAGGCAAGGCTTGATTTTGCAGACAGGCAAGGCTCGATTTTGCAGACAGGCAGGGGTTGAGGGCATCAACCAAGAGCGGGCAGGGGTGGGTGGAGCAGAGTGTCCGGTGCGAGGGGCGGAGGCGGTGGGAACTCAGCTATGAGTGGAGAGCAGTGGAGTACCTGCAGCAGTTGAGGCCGCGCTTGCACCATGGCTCTTAGCTCTTGGAACTGCCACGCAAGAGGGGCAGCAAGAGCAGCAGCATGGAAGAGGAAACCCGAAAACTGTTGAACAAGCAGTGAGTGGACGCGAGCACTGGCCTGCTGCAACAATGACCCCCCCCCTGATTCCTTCACACTGCAGTGAATCACCTACCCACACCACGCACTCTGTCACCACCTCGTTCATTCTACAAAATTCTACTCTCCAGCCCGACCTCCCCCCCACATGAGCACCACCTGACAGCTACACCCCTGTGACCAAATCCCATCGCCCTATTCACCCTCTCATGGTAGCGACCCGCCCTGCGAGGGTAGCCACTCACCCGGGGGTTGGCTCGCAGAAAGTCGAGCTGAGAGGCGGCTCCCTCCGCACCTGCCGCTGCCCCCCCTTGCCCCGGCTGCACAGGGTCCCGCACGGGGGAACAAGAAACATGGATCGTGAAACCATTTATGTGAAAAACACGCCAAATACGCCAGAAACCCTTTCAATGGAAGCGCGCATTCTGGGGAAGAGCGCAGGGCACCTGGGGGAAGAGGGCACTTGGGGGAAGAGGGCAACAGAGGAGAGAGCGCACCTGGGGGAAGAGCGCAACTGGGGGGAGAGCGAAACTGGGGGGAGAGCGCACCTGGGGGGAGAGAGCACCTGGGGGGAGAGCGCACCTGGGGGAAGAGGTTGAGCGGGGCGGTGTTGGGGCCGCCCTCCATCGCCACGTCCTCCCCGCCCGCCGCCTCCGCTCCCCCTGCCGACCCAGGGGGCGCTCTCGCCACAGGCGGGGCGGCCGTCTCTGGTATGCCCTGCGGGGTGGGGACGAGGAGTGTGGGGGGGTACGGCGAGGTGGCGTGAGGTGAAATGCGGTGCGCGCACAGACTGGAGGTGAGGTGGGGATCACGAACAGAGTAGGGTAAGGAGAAGTGATGTGAGATGAGGAGAGGTGAGATGAGGCGAAGTACGGTGAGGCCAGGTGTGGTAAATTGAGGGGGGATCGGGCCACGCACCGAGTAGAGGTATTCGACGGCGCGCTCGGGGTTGTTGAAGGCGGCCCTCAGCGCGCGTAGCACGGTCTCGCGGTCCCAGCTGCCGCCGCCCATCTCCAGGATCTGCGCCACCGTCGCCTCCAAGTGCGGCCCCGCCAGCAGCGCGGACGCCGCCTGCCCGTACACCCCCGCGCTCTCCGCCGCCGCGCCGGCCCCCGCCTGCTCGCCCGCGGCTGCGGGTGCGGCGGTGGCGGCAGGCGGGGCTGCGGCGGCTGCTGGAGCGGCAGGTTCGGCCGCGGGCGCGGGGGCGGGTGCTGCTGGCGCCGCTGGTGCTGCTGGCGCGGGCGCTGGTGCCGCAGCAGGCGCCGGTGCAGGGGTTGCTGCGGGCTGTGGGACAGAGAGAAAGAGAATAAGGTGGAAAAAGGCTGAGAATACTCAACAGTGTGCGAAGAGCCGCGGTTGCAAGGGCAGGAAAGCACGAAGTGGGAAGAGTCGTACCGCTGCTTGCGCTGACGACGACCCCCCCGCGGCTCCGGGTTTAGGCTGCGAGGCGGAGCGCACGCAGGGCGAGACGAGGGGTCAACAGGACGACGACGGCGTTAGTGGCACAGACGGGCAGGCACGCGCTGGATGCACGAGGAGCACTCAAGGCAGCGACGGGCGGCGGTGAACAGGGATGGATCAGCGGAGGGATGGACGTGCCACGGGGCGGACGTCACAAGAGAACTGCAGGTGACAAGAGGGGTGGGGTCGATGCGGCGCACCTTTGTGAGCATGACGACGAGGAAGCCATTCTCCGACACGTTGCTTTCGGCGAGCGTCGTGTCGTCCTTGAGCACCTTGCCCTGGTGGATCAGCAGCTGCTGCTCGCGGGGGAACGCCGCGCCCTGAATCTCAAAGATCTTCCCCTTCACCTCCGCCACCTGCGGGAGCCGTGGGGGAAGTGGGGGGAGAAGAGGTGGGGGGAGCGGGGGAGGGGGAAAGGTGTCAGAAAGGCGCACGGATTTACCACGATAAAGATTTACTACGATAAAGCATCTGCCGGCACGCAGGTATCCACCTGACGCACTTCTCTGACTCGACACAGCATCCATCGGCGATGCATCGATCGGGGATGCATCTATCGGGGATGCATCTATCGGATCTTGCCTTATCTGACGGCTCGACGTTGACGTCGAATTGAAGCCCCTTGAGGGTCTTCACTGTGACCTTCATCGCCCTGCTCTGTCCGTGTCTGTGTCCCTCTGTGTGTGTGTCTATGTCTCCCTCTCTCTCTGCTGCTGGCCGCTGCTGCCCGACCAATCGAAGTAACAAGAGCAACAACCTCGCCGATTTCCGCGACGCACTGGATTCTATCAGCGAATTCGAGGTTAGAAACTGCGCGATGTCGCTAACTCGGCCGAGCTCAGCAGATCCTGAAGGTTCGGAAGAACAAACGAATCTCATTTTTCTCTTGGGCTCTGGATCCATTTGCGAGTGACTGGGGAGAGGGGTCGGGAGGGGTGGAGAGTGCGAAGGAAGAGGTTGACGGGTGTGGCGGTAGAAGAGGGAGGAGGGGAGGGGAGGAAAAACCCCCATCTGCTGCACTGTCAGCGCCACGCCTGTAAGCGAGAGGCGCGAAACTCTATTCGGTTGCGTAACATTCTCATTTTAGGAACACTATAAGATTGGTGCCAGCGTATAATTAGAACACTTTGGAACGTAATTGTGTAAATGCTATTCGAGTTTCCCATTCCCTAGGTTCAGCTCCTGCAACCGAAGGGAATGCCTCGAAATTGTATTGTCAGGCCGAGCAACCACATTCGCCGAGCAGCAGTCCGCTTCTTTTTCAGGCATTTCCTGCATTGCTGGTCCTGAAACCACGTGACGTGACTGCTTACTGCGTTGTTCACCTAGGCATAAGCGGTATCTCCTGGTTCACCTATTAGCAGCTCTCTTCCGCTATTGACAGACGGTCTGAGCGAGATCGAGCAGATGGAGGGGTCGTTCGAGGCGTACAAGGAGAAGGTGCGCATTCCACCATTCATTCATTCGGATCTGTTACCCTCGGATCCCTAACGAGCTATGCCGTCTCGTCACTTCATCGCACTCGCATGATGCAACGCGTTTAGATTCGCGACTTTTAAAGGACCTTCGTTTCGAGATGCCTGCTGTCCCGATCCCGTCCTGCTTTCCTCCGCCTCGCTGTCCCGCTCGAGCCATTTCTCGCGGCCCTCAGATCTGCAGCTTGCGTCGCTCTGCTTTTCGCATACCACATCCTTGCCGCTAAAGCGTCCCATCCCATGCTACTCTGTCAGACCTGCTCGTGGGAAATGCCTCGCAATGTCGGGTGCGACGCCTTGCTTTTGTCGAACGGTTGTCGCAGGTGCTGCTGGGCGACGTGGCGTGGGACACGTACGTGACGGCGAAGCTGATAACGGGCACAGACTTCCAGCTGCTGCGCCGCTACGACCACCGCTCCAAGGAGGTCCAGGCCGCGCTGCTCGAAGAGGTGAGCGCCGCTCCAAGAGGTGAGCGCCGCTCCAAGAGGTGAGCGGCCCGCTCCTCCCCCCCCGGGTTTCGCCTCTCCCTCGCCGCCTCTCGCGCTCCTCGCTTCCTGCACGCACGGCATTCTCCAAACGCCGTGTCCTCATTGAAGCGTCGCAGGTGCTCCTGAGCCATGCGCTAGTGTACAGTCCCTGTGGCCTCGTCTGTCGTTACATCATCAGTTTTCCCGCCGCTCGTATCGCCCTTGCCGCAACGCCTCCTTCACTCATGTCTCCACCCTTTGGCCTTGCAGAACGGCGTCGGATACGTGCGCACATTTATATCCGTACTGAAGAATGTCTTTAAAGAGGAAACCGTGGAGTACACTATCGCCCTCATCGACGAGCTTCTAACACGTAACGAGTTGTGCTTGAAAATATGCCATTTAAGGCGCGGACAGGGCCATTTTGCGGAAATATATTTTTGGTCTGAGAAAGCACACCGTCATTGAGATTATGCTTTTCTGGACGCTGCTTCGTGCTTCTCCCTGTTTGCGCGTCAGGAGACAAGAAGAGGGCTCGTTTGTTTCACGACCCGTCGATAACAGACGATGTCTATGCGCCCTTCCTCAGGTGAGCTGCCCGTGGTCTCTGCGGCTCATGCAGTGCTCCTCTCGCCGTGATTCCTCTCTCATCTGTGCATTGCGTTGCTCGCACGCCCCGTGCCTTTCACGCATCACATCCACTCCTTCCCACCCCGTCCGCTGGAACCCAGTCGTTCTCACATATCTGTTGCTCTCGCATAGCTCACTCGCGCACAGCTCACTCGCGCACAGCTCACTCTCGCCAGTCTCAAGCCTCACCAGCCAACCTGCTCGAACATGAACTGTCCCTCCATGGCCCCGCACTGCCTGTCCCTCCATGGCCCCGCACTGCCTGTCCCTCCATGGCCCCGCACTGCCTGTCCCTTCACGCCCCCACCTGCCGCGCAGACTGCTGGGGCACACCAACTGGTTCGTGCTGGAGGCCACGTCGCGAATCCTGCCTCTCATCATCGTGTGAGTCGTCCGTGCCCCATGCATGCAACCATCAGGCCGGCTGCACTCGTGCTGCCTCGGACATCCGCGTCGTACCATGTCATGCCATTCTCATGGCATCTAGGCGCCGTGCCTCGTCTCTAACTACGGCTCCATTCCTTGTCGTACCGTTCCTCCCCCGCCACTCCACATTGCTCTCTACCCTCACCCGCCCCCTGTGCCGTCCTCTATCGCTTCCCACCCGCTGCCCTCAGCTCGCGGCCGCACAGCTCCTCGGCGCCTGCAGCAGCGCCCGGGGCATCACGGGCGCCCGCGTCCTCAGAGGGCGACCTGGACTATGTGCTCGAGCCCTTCATTGCCTGGCTCTGCCATCAGGTCCGCGCTGCCTGCCTTCCCCTCCTCCCTCCCCCCCGCCGCCCCTCCCCCCCCCCCGTGCTCGCCTCTTTGCTTCCTCGCGTCCTCCTCGTGCCGTGCCAATATCCCCCCAATCCCATTACCTCTCCCCCGCCGTCCCTTCCCTCGTGCCGCTGCTAGCTTTCCCACCCAGTGCACCCGGTGCGCGCCGTGCCAGCGGCCATCACAGCGCTGGCGACGACGCTGAGGGACGTGTCGGCGCGCTCCATCTTCGCCAAGGCGGACGGCGTGCGCCTGCTGCTGCCCTACATTGCGCCCGTGGCTGGCCAGAACCAGATGCAGGTAGGACGGGAGATGCGCGTGCAAGCAATGCTGCATGCTCGTGTGGCGTTAATGCTGCATGTGATGGCGCACGCTGGTGTGACAGCGCATGTGCCATACACGCTCACCCAAAGCCCGTTTCTGTTCCCCTCTCTTCTCACCCCTCCCCCTCCCCCTCCCCCTCCCCCTCCCCCTCCCCTCCCCCTCCCCCTCCCCCTCCCCCTCCCCCTTCCCCCTTCCTCTCGCCCTCCCCCTCCCCCTCCCCCTTCCCCCTTCCGCTCGCCCTCGCCCCCTCAGCTGCTGTACGAGGCGGTGCTCTGCCTCTGGCTGCTCTCCTTCCACGAGCCTTCCCTGGACGCCATTCGCTCCGCGCGCATTCTACCGCGCCTCATCGACGTCGCCAAGAGCTCCGCCAAAGAAAAGGTAGGCAGCAAGCTGGGGGGAAAGGGTGGCGGCCTGACTCTTGATCCGCCATCTGACCTCACTTACATCAACTTCTGCCCACTCTGCTTCCCCTCCTTACCCCCTCCCCCCTTCCCCCCCCCTCCCCCCCCCCCCCTCCCCCACACGAGCACAGATAGTGCGCGTGGCGGTGCTGACGCTGAGCAACCTGATGACGCGCGGGCACCTGGGCGCGTCCATGGTGGAGCTGGGGCTGCCCAAGGTCGTGCAGAGCCTCAAGCTGCACGCGTGGCACGACGAGGTCAGGGGGGTGGCGGCGTGATGGCGCGATGGCGTGAGATGGCATGATGTGATGTGATAAGCTGCAAGCACCTTGTAGGTGCTTGCAGCACATCTGCCTCTCGCTCTCTTGCCCCCCTCCTCTCATCTCTCGCTGTGCTGCCACTCATCTCTCGCTGTGCTCGCACGTGGTGCCTCAGGCTGAAGGAGTTGCTGGACGTGGGGCTGCGCCACAACGTGCGGGTGATGAGCTCAAATGTGTCCCTCGCGTGCCTCACGTGCCCCATGTACGCCTCACTGCCCCATGCACTCACCAGGATCCGAAGGAGGGGCTGGAGGCGCTGGACGCCGGTCTGCGCCACAACCTGCGAGTGATGAGCTCAACTGTGTCCCCTGCGTGCCTCACCTGCCCCATGTGTGCCCCATGTGTGCCCCATGTGTCCTCCACGTGTTCCCCATGTGTGCCCCATGTGTGCCCCGTGTGTGCTCCACGTGTGCCCCATGTGTGCCCCATGCACTCACCAGGATCTGAAGGAGGCCTTGGAGGCGCTGGACGTGGGTTTGCGGCACAACCTGCGGGTGATGAGCTCGTTCGACAAGTACCGGCAGGAGGTGCTGTCGGGGTCGCTGGACTGGACGCCCATGCACAAGGACGCCGCCTTCTGGCGCGAGAACATCATGCACTTCGAGGACAACGACTTCCAGGTGGGGGGGGAGGAGAGGGGGGGGGGCACGGCCAGCTGACTGGTATGCTGTGCTGCTGTGAGGTGGCATGTCTCCTGGACGCCCATGCACAGGGACGCCGCCTTCTGGCGCGAGAACATCATGCACTTCAGGGACAACGACTTCCAGGTAGGAGCGATTGCTGGTGCTGGTGCTTTCCCTGTGTGGTGCGGTGCTGCTGTGAGGTGCGGCAGGGGGCGGGCTGCGTGGTGTGCGCTGGTGCTGGCCTTGTGTGGCTGCTGCCAGGCTTCTCCTGTCACTCTCGTGCACCACCTCCTCGCATCCCTCAACCCCCCGTTCACCTTCCAAGTACGTTTCTTCCCTCACCTCTGGTTCTGCCAGCCCTGGTCGCCCTGCTGGACACCAGCCACGAGGCTCGAACCCTGGCCGTGGCGTGCCACGATTTGGGGAAGTTCATCTCACCCTTCCGCCCGCCTGCTGCTGCTCTGACCTCAGGTGCTGCGAGCGCTGGTCGCCCTGCTGGACACCAGCCACGAGGCGCGCACCCTGGCCGTGGCGTGCCACGACCTGGGGCAGTTCATCTCGGCGCACCCAGCCGGCAGGGGCGTGGCTCACGACATGAAGGGCAAGGAGCGCGTGCTGCGCCTGCTGGACCACGGCGACCCCGAGGTGCGCAAGCAGGCGCTGCTGGCCGTGCAGAAGCTGCTGCTCTCCGCCAAATACGTCTCGTACCTGCAGTGAGGAGAGTACCCCTGCCCCCTGCAGTGAGGGGGGAGGAGTGCGCCCTGTGCCTGCACTGAGCGCGGGGGTCCCTGTCCAACGTTCAGTGAGGGGGGGACGTGGCCGCGGTGGGGTGAAGGCAAGAGGTGGCATTGTTGCTGGCAACTGGCCTGCCTGCCAGTATACTTGATGGCAATTTGCCACTGATGCTTTCCGTACTCCCTGCTCCTACTTCTCCCGGCAGGCCTGAGTAGTGCTGCTGTGCTATCCATGTAGTAGTACCCACGAGGTGTGTAGCTTGCCTTGCAACCACGGTATGCTCGTTTAGCTCACAACTCGTAGTGCGTGCCCACCATAAGGCCCCGGCCCATATAGACTCATGCATCCGGTAGCATTTCTCCTGCATCCAACCACTAATCAGCAAATGTGGGAGTCTAGTGGCTTGTAAAACTCAAATGATTCTGTACAATACTTCTGTTGCTGGTACTGTGGTGCAAGTAAGCAGCTGGCTAAATCCTACCGATACATGTCCTAGTGCACCAGCAGCTGGCTGGTGTAGAGTGAGTCAACCAAGCAGCAGGTCATCCGTAGAGCCAGTGCCACGAGCAGCAACCTGAATGCGCGCCAGCCTCCCCCACCTCCACTAAACCAACCCTCATTGAGTCATCGACCGATTCCTCTGAATTTCTCCAATCACTGCGGCGGCTTGTGCAATCTGAGCAGCAGCGAGCTGACCACCACCAGCACGGAGCTCCCCGCCATGAGCCCTCCTGCACGCCCAGGGGGGGAGAGTGAGGGGGAGAGGGTCGAGGGAGAGGGGAGAGGCAGAGAGGGGCAGGCAGTGAGCATTGAGAGGAGGAGGGGCTGCCAGCACCCTCCAGTGCCAGAGAGGAGGGGATGGACAAGGGGCCGCAGGAGAGACATGAGCAAGTTGGGTGTGATATTAATACCAGCAAGGGTGGGTGAGATATAACCCAGCAAGGTTGGGAGTGAGGGCTACCAGAAGGAGTGGAAGGGAAAATTACCGGCAAGCGTGGGCGTGAGTGCCACATCGTAGGCAGGGAGGAAGGCCCCGGCAGCGAGAGGCACGGCGAGGCAGTTGTAGGCGAGCGCCCACCCGAGGTTTAGGCGCACGCGGGCCATGGTGGCACGCGCCAGATGCACCGCGTCCACCAGCTGGGGAGGGGCGAGGGAGGGAGAGGGGGGGGGGTTTCGGGTTTAGGGTGAAACGGAGAGACAAAGTGAGACGAGGGTGTGCAATACATTGAGGTGCATGGCGGCATGCCACAGACTCACCTGAGTACGGGCGAGGAACAGACAACAAGGTGCAAGACCCGGCAGGAACCGGCATGCCAGTGAGAAACCACTCAGGGTGGTGGCGTCACCTGCGAGAGTCGGTTCCCAGCGGCACAAGGTCAGCGGCGTCAGCAGCGGCGCTCATGACGGCCAAGGCAGTTGTGAGAGGAAAACATGTGCAACGCCCTCACGGTGGCCTCACCTGTGTGAGTCGGTTCCCCAGCAGCACGAGGTCAGCAGCGTCAGCAGCGGCGCTCATGATAGCCGAGGTGGCACCTGGGGGAGGCACCGCCACTCCCACGTCCGCATGGGCCAGCGCCAGGGTGTCGTTGATGCCGTCGCCCACCTGACGAGCAGGGAGGGGAAAGGAAGGGGGAGAGGGGGCGTGGTTGGTCGCACATTTTAATCTGAAGCAGCAGAGCAATAGTCGAGTATCGACACACACGGATGGGTAATCCGACAGCCTCTGACTGATCACCTTAGCACCTGCCACTGAGGTTCCCCCCTGAGCCCCTCCACCCCTACCATCTCCCCCGCCCCCCTCAACTGTGTCTTGCCATACCCACTCCCCCTTGCACCATACCACATCCGCCCATCGCTCACCATGGCCACCGTGTGCCCTTCCCTCTGCATCCGCTCTATCGCCTCCTCCTTGCCCTCCGGCAGCAGCCTTCCCAGAACATTCGCACTGTCAGTGATGCCCACTGCCTGCGCCACCCGGTTGACTGCGGCCTGTCGGTCGCCCGACAGCACAGCAGCTGACACCCCCAGAGAGGCGAGGCTGCAGTTGAATCAATGGGGGCGGGGGTCGTGAGATACAGGGAGGTTGGGAAGGGAGCGTGGCCACCCGGCTGACTGCAGCCTGCCTGTCGCCCCACAGCACTGCGGCTGACACCCCCAGGGAGGCGAGGCTGCAGGGAGTTAAGGTTGCAGCAAGGAGGATGGAGGGTGTGAGATGCAGGGCGGGAGGGACAGGACAAAAGAGAGAGCGTGTTTTCCGGTTGACAGCGGCCTGCCTGTCGCCCGACAGCACTGCGGCTGACACCCCCAGAGAGGCGAGCCTAAAGAGAGGTTGGGTTGAAGCAATGGGGATGGAGATGCAGGGGGGTTGACACAGGACAAGCGAGCGTGGGCCACCTGGTTGACTGCGGAAGCACTGCGGCCGACACTCCCAGAGAGGCGAGGCTGCAGAGAGTTTGGATCGAATGAATGTAGACGGAAAAGCAGGGAGGTTGAGAAGAAAGTGTGGGCCACCTTGTTGAGTGCTGCCTGCCTGCCGCCTGATAGTGCTGCAGCTGACACGCTGAGGGAGGCGACACTGCAGAGGGAGCGAAACGGAAACACCCAAAACCATTCGAACGGGAATGGCTTGTTCAAACCATAGGAACACCCAGAGTTACGAACGAACCCCAAACATACGAACGACCAAACATACGAACCCCAAACATACGAACCCCAAACACACAGTACAAACGACCAAACATATGAACACCCAAGCGACTGCGTGCCGGTCACCCGACAGCACTGCAGCTGACACGCCCAGAGAGACGGGCGAAAAACCCGGGGGGAGGATGAATCCGGGCAAAAGATGAAGCGGGACTTCATTGCGATTGTTCCTCGCTCGCTCGTTGCACCTGGCTCATGTGAGCTGGTGACCCCTCCTCGCCTTCTCAGCACGTTATCTTCCCTCCACCTCCTGCTCTCTAGCCCCCCCCTCCCGCCCTCCCCCAACCCCTCACCTGCTCACGGTCTGCTGGGCTTCAGTGCGCACCGAGTCACTCACACAGATGCACCCTAGAATGCCACCCCCGCTCCTCGACCCCCCTCCCTGCCCCCTGCTCCCCTCCACCCCCTCCTCGCCCCTCCTTTCCCCCTCACTCCGCACTTCGCCCACGTACACAAACGTGTGGCTGCTGCTGCTATCCCTTCTGTCCCCCTCTCCTCCCTCCCCCTCCACACCCCCACACTCCCCACTCAACACCCCCTCCTCCACTCTCCGCCATCTCTCCCCTTCCACCCCCCTCCTCTCCCTCTCCCCCTGGCCCCTCAGGCAGTGTTTCGCCACCCAGTCAAATGCTCCCACGTGGATCTCCCTGCCATCCACCACTGCCACCACGCCCCGCCCAGGCACAGTAAGTGCCGAGGAAACGGGCGGCAGTGGGGCGGCGGAGAGGCGGGCAGCGTGGGTGGTGATGGCGGCTGCGACCGGGTGGCGTGTGCTGGACTCTGCTGCTGCTGCCAGGCGGAGGAGAGAGACGGTGTCAGCGACGTTAGGGTCAGCAGCATTGGTGTCAGCGCCTTGCATGCGTGGCGCTGGGAGGGCTGTTGTGGGTGAGGCAGGGACTGCATAGGAGGACGCTACTTGTGGTGAGGTGGCTTGATGGAGTGAGAGAGGGAGGGCGGCGACTGGCAGGTGGGAAGCAGGCACCACAGCCGACACCTGGGGTTGACCCGCTGTCAGCGTGCCGGTCTGCACAGCAAGGGGGTGGGGGATGGAAGGGGAGGGGTGCCATGGGTGAGGCAGACGAGACGGTGGGAGAGAGGAAGGGGTGAGGAAGAGGAAGGGGAGAGGAAGAGGAAGGGTGAAAGGGGCAGGGTGAGGGAGGACGGCAGGATGGAGGGCGGCAGAGAGGAGCGGAGAGCAGTGCGCCATGGTGGCAGCATTGTGGATGCCTGGGCTCACCTAGTCAACGCCGCCACATCCACTGCTAGTCGCTCCCACACACCCTTGCTGCAAACAAGCCCATGCTTTTGACTTGCCTGGAACAAATACCATAAACCCCACCTTGTGAAAGGGTGCCACATCCACCGCTGCCTGTCGCTCCAGCATGCCCTTGCTGCAGTGTGCTTCTCCGCCCACTGAAAGACCCACCCAACCGACCCATGCGCCTCACCTTGCTGAACGCCAGCCGCCAGTTGCTCCAACACACCCTTGCTGCAGACTAGCCCGCCCCTGCTCTTATCCCATACCACCCATCCCCCCCATCCACCCCATCCCAACCATAGGACCAATCCGCCCCATCGGATCCGCGTCACCTTGTCAAAGGCCACCACATCCATGGCCGCCAGGCGCTCCAACACATCGCCCCCGCGCAGCAGCAGCCCCCTCCTGGCGCCTGCCACACGCACCGCAAATCAACCCAACACACTGTGAGAGGTATGAATGGCAGGCATGGTGCGCTGTGAGAGGTACGTATGGCAGGCATGGCCCGGCATGCGACGGATGGCATGGGTGGTTGATGGTGGCACCGAGGGCTGTTACTGTACACTGGCCGTACCGAGGGATGTGCCGACGAGGATGGCAGTGGGAGTAGCGAGGCCGAGCGCGCACGGGCATGCCACCACCTGCAGGGTGAGAGGTGTGGGGGGGTTAAGGTGCGCGCAGCAGCGGGTGGGGTCACGGGATTCGGAACACATAGATGTGCTGACGCTTAGGGGAGGGAGGACAAGCGAAAATCAAGTAGAAAAAGGGCAGGGATACTAGGGTACAGGCAATAATGGGTATGCATAATACAGTAATCAAAGTGCATGAAGGGAGCAGAGCATTAAAGAGAATGACGCGGCACTGAAAAAGAGCACAGGTGCAAAGAAGAGCCGTTCAAAAGCACATCGCCAAACAGTAGCAGCGGTCGCCCTTACCAGCACACTGATGGCGAGCCTGAGGCTGAGCACGAGGGGGTCCGAGTCGTCGCCTGCGTAGTCCGACAGCAGCACCTGTGGGTAGAGGTTCACTCCCACAGTGTACCTGGTGGGGTGGATGCATGGAAAGGGGGTGATATGGGGGCTTGCAAATCATGCAACGACATGCCTCAAGCAGGAGCACCGGCGGGTACCATGTGCCAGGTGGGGTGACTGCAGGGGGGGCATCGGAGAACTAAGGGATTTGAAGTCTATGAGATATGCCGCCCACATCGCCATATGGTGAACCCCTCGTTATACGGCGACCCCCTCCCCTTACGGCGACCCCTCACCAACGGGGACCCCCCCCCCCTTACGGCGATCCCTGCCAAAGGGCGAACCACTCACCATATGGAGAACTAGGCATGTTCAAATGTTGGGCCTCAGGCTGGCCCGGCACGTCACGCACGGGCCGGGACGGGCCTGGGAGGGCTCGGACCAAGCTGTCTTGGGACGGGACGACCATAAAGGGGGGCCCGTGGCCCGTGGCACACGCCGGGCCAGTGCAGGCCCGCCAACGGGCTGGGCTGGCCCGTGGGCCCACGGCACCCCCCCCACCAAACAAGTACCCACATCCCAACACGACATCTCAGATCGCACGGGCCATGGGCCGGCCTGGCCCAAGCCAGCCCATCGCCTCGGGCCAGGCCAGGGGTCAATGGGAGCCCGAGCCTCGTCAAAACCGGGCCACGGTCGGGCCGGGCAGGCCCGAGCCCGTGCGCTGAATACCCCTATGCCGAACCTCTTGCTATATCGCAAACCCCTCGCTACATGGCGACCCCCCTCACCCAAACCCCTCACCATATGGCGATCCCCTCCCCATGTGATGACCCCCTCGCCCACCACCTCCCCATGCTCCCTCGCCATGTGGTGACCCCTTCCCTTTATGGCGACCCTTCCCTGTATGGCAACCCACTCGCCATATGACGACCCACTCGCCATATGGCGACCCCCTCCCCATATGGCGAACCCCTCGCCGTATGGGGACCACCTCCCCATGCTCCCTCGCCATGTGGTGACCCCCTCCCCCTATGGCGATCCCTCCCTGCATGGCAACCCACTCGCCATATGACAACCCCCTCGCCATATGACGACCCCCTCGCCATATGACAAGCCCCTCGCCATATGACGACCCCCTCGCCATATGACGACCCCCTCGCCATATGCCGACCCCCTCGCCATATGCCGACCCCCTCGCCATATGCCGACCCCCTCGCCATATGACGACCCACTTGCCAAATGACAGCCCAATCGCCATATGGTGACCCCCTCACCATAGCAACCCTCTCGCCATATGGCGACCCACTCCCCTTATGGCGAGCCCCTCGCCATATGGCGACCCACTTGCCATATGGCGACCCACTCGCCATATGGCGACCCACTTGCCAAATGACAGCCCAATCGCCATATGGTGACCCCCTCACCATAGCAACCCTCTCGCCATATGCCGACCCCCTCGCCATATGCCGACCCCCTCGCCATATGCCGACCCCCTCGCCATATGACGACCCACTTGCCAAATGACAGCCCAATCGCCATATGGTGACCCCCTCACCATAGCAACCCTCTCGCCATATGGCGACCCACTCCCCTTATGGCGAGCCCCTCGCCATATGGCGACCCACTTGCCATATGGCGACCCACTCGCCATATGGCGACCCACTTGCCAAATGACAGCCCAATCGCCATATGGTGACCCCCTCACCATAGCAACCCTCTCGCCATATGGCGACCCACTCCCCTTATGGCGAGCCCCTCGCCATATGGCGACCCACTTGCCATATGGCGACCCACTCGCCATATGGCGACCCACTCGCCATATGGCGACCCACTTGCCATTATGCCATATGGTGACGCCCCCCCCATATGGCGAACCACTCGCCGTATGGCGACCCCCTCCCCTAATGTCGAACCCCTCGCCATATGGGGACCCCACCCCTTATGGCAACGCCCTCGCCATTTGACGACCCACTCGCCAAATGACAGCCCAATCGCCATATGGCGACCCCCTCGCCATATGGCGACCCACTCGCCATATGGCGACCTTCTCGCAATATGTCGACCCCCTCCCAATATAGTGACCCCCTCGCCATACGGCAACCCCCTCGCCATATGGCGACCCACTCCCCTTATGGCGACCCCCTCGCCATTTGACGACCCACTCGCCAAATGACAGCCCAATAGCCATATGGCGACCCCCTCGCCATATGGCGACCCACTCGCCATATGGCGACCTTCTCGCAATATGTCGACCCCCTCCCAATATAGCGACCCCCTCGCCATACAGCGACCCCCTCGCCATATGGCGACCCACTCCCCTTATGGTGAACCCCTCTCCATATGGCGACCCCCTCGCCATATGGCCACCCCCTCGCCATATGGTGACCCCCTCGCCATAGCCATATGGCGACCCCCTCGACATAGCCATATGGCGACCCGCTCGGCATAGGGCGACCCACTCGCCGTATGGCGACCCCCTCGACATATGCCGACCCACTTGCCATATGGTGACCCCCTCCCCTTATGGCGAACCCCCCCCTTATGGCGACCCCCTCGCTATATGGCGAACCCCTCGCCATATGGCGGCCCACTCGCCATATAACGACCCCCCCGCCTTACGGCGACCCCCCCCCCCTTATGGCGAACCCCTCGCCATATATCGACCCCACCCGTTATGGCGACCCACTCGCGACATGCCGACCCGCTCGCCATATGGCAACCCGCTCGCAATATGGCGACCCACTCGCCATATGGCGACCCACTCGCCAAATGGCGATCCACTCGCCATATGCCGACCCCCTCGCTATATGGGGACCCACTCGCCATATGGCGACTCCCTCGCCAAATGGCAACCGCTCGCCCTATGGCGGCCCCCTCGCCCTATGGCGACCCCCTCGCCGTATGGTGACCCCCTCTCCGTATGGCGACCCCCTCGCTGTATGGCGAACCCCTCGCCGTATGGCGACCCACTCGCCTTATGGCGAACCCTTCGCCTTATGGCGACCCCCTCGCCTCATGGCGACCCCTCGCCATATGGCGAACCCCTCGCCATATGTCGACCCCACCCCTTATGGCGACCCACTCGCGACATGCCGACCCCCTCGCCATATGGCGACCCCCTCGCCATATGGCGACCCACTCGCTATATGGCAACGCCCTCCCTGCGAAGGCGTCTTGCACTGCACCCGCGCAGTGTCTATTCGGGGTTAGATTTCAAGGATTTGAGGTCTAGGGCTTAAGGCAACAGGCCAGGCCCAAACCAGAAGGCCAAGGTGGCAGATGCAAGCGACATGATGGACAATGGGCCCCGCAATGGCGTCCGCCAGGTGCTACACTGACGCTGTGCATAGGTGTTCTAGCTCACGGGGTTTTATGGGTTTGGGGTGTAGTATAGGGCTTAGAGCAGGGGCGCACCAGAAGGTAAAGGTGGCGGCAGCGAGCGACATGATGGTGAAGACAAACGGCCCTGCGATGGCATCCGCCAGGCGCTGCACCGGCGCCGTGCGCTGCTGGGCGTCCTCGACTCGCCGCGCCATCTCACACACCGCACAGCTGGCGCCCGTGGCTGTTGCTGCCACCACTATGGGCCCCTCCTGTTGTGGGGAAAAGGAGACCAGGGGGAAAAGGAGACCAGGGGGAGAGGGGCACGGGCAGAAAGGGGGGGGGGCATGAGAGACAAGCTGGGCACAGCAGTGCAATCGCCACCAGGAGCAATGCAGCTGCCACTGGGAGCAAAGGGTTGTGCCTTTGTCTCACTGACAACATGCTGCGTGCAATGTCCCTTGACTCACCCAGTTGACCGTGCCGGCAGCCACAGCAGCACCCCTGCGCTTGGCCACTGTGGCTGCCTCGCCCGTCTGCAGGGACTCGTCCACGGCACTGCGCCCGTGCACCACCGTGCCCTGTGATCGCATGGAGTGACGCAGGGCAAGGGCAAGGAGGGGGGAAGTGCAGGGAGAGGGGAAGACGATATGAGGGATGGTGTATTGCCACCGTGGCTGCCTCGTCCGTCTGCAGCGACTCGTTCACGGCACTGCGCCCGTGCACCACCGAGCCCTGGGTGGAGGAGGGAAGAAGTGCGACGAGCAGCACATGCATCACTGAAACAGGGCTAAAGACTCTTCAGCCGTTTCCCTCCCTCCGTCTGTCTGCAGGGAGGGACTCGTCCTTGGCACTGCGCCCACACACCACCGAACCCTGGGAGGGAGGGGTGTGGAACAAACGATCGCAGCATGCTGGCACAATGACAGTAGCCACAGGGCAGTGAGTCCACTGAGCTGCGACTTGACACAGAGGGGATAGAAAGATTGCATAGGATGACGCCACCGATGCATGTGGTCGCTTGATCTATAGCCACTGGCATTCGCCATCACCACCATCTGCAGCCTCCCACTCCAGCATCTAGGCACTCACATCCACAGGGATGACGTCACTCACATCCACAGGGATGACGTCACCAGGCAGCACCAGGACCTTGTCCCCCGGGCGCACGTGGTTGGCTGGCACCTGCACCCACGCCGCCATGCTCAGCGCCAACCCCCCCTCGCCCTCCTCCTCACTCCCACTCTCCATCCCGCCCTCACCACCCCTGCCCCCCGCCCCCTCAGCCTGCTCGCCTTCAGTGCTGTCGTCGTCAACAAGCAGGCGGGCCGTGGAGGGCAGAAGGGACTGGGGGGCAGGTGGGGAAGGAACACGAGGGGGAGCAGAGGCAGGGGATCAAAGGGAGCAGCGGAAAAGAAGAACAAGTCAAGGAAAGAAAGAGCCCTCTGGCTGCTCTGCTCCCCCCTGCCCCCCCGCCCTGCTCGCCCCCTGCGCTGTCAGTGTGGGGGAAACAGGGGAAGTATGAGGGGGGCGGGGGGGGCAACAGAAAGATAGGGACGACCACGGACCCCCACCGCTCCTTGTTGGCCCCTCCCCTGGCCGTCGAAGACAGCAAGGGGGGAGATGGGTTGTGCAAAGAGGTGGGGTGTGGGGTGTGGGGTGTGGGGTGTGGGGGGTGGGGTGTGGGGTGTGGGGTGTGGGGTGTGGGGTGTGGGGTGTGGGGTGTGGGGTGTGGGGTGTGGGGGGTGCTCACAAGGCTCGATGGACGTGGGGTGGGCAAGCATAAAAAAGCGGCACGGAGCACAAAGCACGAGGCATGAGGCATTTGGCCTCGCCTACTGGCATCTTGCAAAACTTGCTCTCCTCAAAGAAGCCTCGCCACGGGCTCACCGAGCCTCACCATGAGCGCACCGAGCCTCACCATGAGCGTACCGAGCCTCACCATGAGCGCACCGAGCCTCACCATGAGCGCATTGAGGTCGGAGGAAGCCTGGGCCCGGGCAGAGGCCTCCAGCGACCGACCCAGGAGCACCACTGCCAGCAGCATGACCTGCAGGGATGGGCGCGCGGGGAGAGGGCGGGGGACACGTAAGATACAAGAGAAACCGGGGAGAGGGCAGCGGGCAGCGGGTTCGCATTACCAATAGACTGTTTAGAGCAGGCAGCCGCCCACCGTCCACCGCCAACCGCCCACCGTCCACCACCCACCGCCCACCGTCCACCGCCACCGCCCACCGCCCACCGCCCACCGCCCACCGTCCACAGTCCACCGGTGGACGCCATCCATTGTCTACGGTCCACCGTCCACCATCCACCGTCCACTGGTGGACGCCACCCACCATCGACCGTCCACCGTCCTCCGTCCACCATCCACTTTCCACCATCCGCCGTCCACCGTCCACCGTCCACCGGTGGAAACCGTCCACCGTCCATCGTCCACCGCCCACCGTCCACCGCCCACCGGTGGATGCCGTCCACCGTCCACCCAGTGGACGCCGTCCACCATCCACCGCTCACCGTCCACCGTCCACTGCCCACCAGTGGACGCCATCCACCGTCCACCGTCCACCGTCCACCAGTGGACGACGTCCACTAGACATGGTTAAAAAGCGATGCGATGCAATATCGCATCGCCGCGATATGTTTTTGGAAAAAATGAAATCGCATATCATGATTTTAGCGCGATTTTTTTTTTTTTTTTTTTTTTCGCACTGCAGAGTGTGATGTATCGCGCGATGCGATAATTTATCGCATCGCCAGGGGTACATTTCAAGGAAAATTAGAGTGCACCGGCAAATTGGATAGGGAGCTATGTTGGAACTGCCATGCGGTATTTTTTTATCGCATATCGCATGTTATCGCGCAAAAAATAGAGCGATAAAAACGCGATATCGCAAATATCGCGCGATATTATCGCATCGCATCGCCGCGATATTCTCTTTTTTTTTCTTTCTTTTTTTATCGTTATCGCAAAATGCGATATAACGCGATGCGATGCGATTTAACCATGTCTACCGTCCACCGTCCACCGTCCACTGCCCACCGGTGGGCGCCGTCCACCGTCCACTGTCCACCGTCCATTGTCCACCGTCCACCGTCCAGCGCCCACCGGTGGACGCCGTCCACCGTCTACCGTAAGGGAGGAGGAAGCAGGGAGCAGGGAGCAGCACTCACAGGCTCGTCAGTGAAGGAGGAGTCGAGGCCGAGGTCGGGGTACAGCTGGGCCACCTGCAGGGGCGGGGGTGATTGGGGGGGAAGGAGGGGGAGTGGGCGGGGGTGATCGAGGGGGAGGGGTGGGGGAGTGGGCGGGGGTGATTGGGGGGGAGGGGTGGGGGAGTGGGCGGGGTTGATTGGGGGGGAGGGGTGGGGGAGTGGGCGGGGGTGATTGGGGGGGAAGGAGGGGGAGTGGGCGGGGGTGATTGGGGGGGGAAGGAGGGGGAGTGGGCGGGGGTGATTGGGGGGGAAGGAGGGGGAGTGGGCGGGGGTGATTGTGGGGAAGGAGGGGGAGTGGACGGGGGTGATTGGGGGGAGGGGTGGGGGAGTGGGTAGGGGTGATTGGGGGGGAGGGGTGGGGGAGTGGGTAGGGGTGATTGGGGGGGAGGGGTGGGGAAGTGGGCGGGGGTGATTGGGGGGGAGGGGTGGGGGTTGGGGACTTAAAATGGAGGATGGTTAGGTGAGATACGAAGACACAGAATGCCGCTGCAGGGGCAGGAGGACAGGGATGTGCTGCTGTGCTGTTGGGGGGGGGGGCGGTGTTGAATGGGGACAAGCGGGAAGGGAGAAGCGAAGATGGAAGGGGGGAGTGCAGGGGGTAGGGGAGGAGGAGGGGAGGTGGGAGTACTAACCATGCCGATGCAGAAGGGGGAGAGTGAGGCGAGGAAAAGGAGAACGTTCAGGATGAAAGACGGGGGGGGTGTGGTGGGGATAGGAGTGTGGTGGGGATAGGAATGTGGTGGGGGGAGGGGGGGTACTGACCACGCCGATGCAGAATGCAGCGAGGAACGCGAGGCCCTCAAGGGAGTTCATGTTGGAAAAACAGGAGGGGAGGGAGGCGAGGCCCTCTAGGGAGAGGAGGTGGGGGAGTACTGACCACGCCGATGCAGAAGGCCGCGAGGGAGGCAAGGCCCACAAGGGAGTTCATGTTGGGCGACAGGCGCAGCAGGGCCCTCATGCCGTCCCACAGCAGGTCTGGTGGGGGGAGGGGGGGGTTGGGTGGATGGATGGAGTGATGGGGAGGGGGTATGGGAGGCGGGGGGGGCAGGCATGAATAGCGCATGTTGGGCAACAGGCGCAGGAAGGTCCTCATGCCGTCCCACAGCAGGTCTGGTGGTGGGTGGGGGGGTGTGGTGGGTGGAAGGGGGGAGGGGGAAAATGGGAATGGGGGCGTGGGAAGAGGCCACGAGGACGAGGATGGGCATGAGCCGCTGCTGCTGCGTGTGAGGCGCGACAAGGCGCTCAGCCCGTCCCACAGCAGGTCTGGTGGGGGGGGGGGTGGGGGTGGGGGGGGGGGTGGGAAGGCGGATGGGAAGAGGGGACAAGGACGGGGGGGGGGGAAGGAAGGGATGGCTTTGGTGCGGCAGTGGATTCACGGGAGAAGGGCGGTGGGCGCACGGGAGGAGAGTGGTGGGTGCACGGGAGGAGAGTGCAGGCCGAGTCCGAGAGGGTGGTGGGTGGCAGAGGCGAGCGAGATAGGTGAGGCAAGGAAAGAGTGTGTTACCAGCAGTCCCTCCCTCTGACCAGCATGCTTCCGGGATTCCTACCAAATAAGGCACAGTACCTCTGGCGGGTCCCAGCAGCGCCACAGCAGCGATGGCAGACCGCACTCTCACGTCGTCCAGCACCGCCATCCACGGGCCTGGCGGGGCGGGGCGCAGGCAGGAGCGCAGGCAGGGGCGCAGGCAGGGAGAGAGGAGGCGAGGAAACGGCAGCACAGGAGCTTTTGAGTGCACTGAACGATCAGCTCGAGGGTAGTGCTCTGACATCGCCCAACACTACCATCCACGTGCCTGGCAGGGCGCGGCATGGGCCGGGGCGCATAAAGGGGGAGGAGAGGAGAAGAGAGGAGAGGGAATGGCAGCACGAGCGCTTTGAGTGGACCATGGACCATGACCAGCTGGCTGGCTCTCGCACATCCCCAACACAGCCATCCGCGGGGCCGGCAAAGTTTCAGAGAGGAATGGGAGCGATTCTAACGAGTTTAACACCCACCTCGCAAGTTCACTGACGCAATGCATACCGTGCCCAAGGGAGGCGTGCAGCCCCATGCATGCAACCGTGGCATGGCGTGGCGCTTGCTATTCATGGCGTGGCGCTTGCGAGTCACCTGGAACCAGGCGCGCACAATGCGTACCGTGCGGGGGTGTGCAGCAGCAGGTGCCCCACGTGGTGCGCAGCACAATAGCACATCACCCCCCGGCTAACACCATGCAGACCATGGGAGAGGAGGGCAAAGGGGGTTATAGGCAATACCGTGCGCCAGGGCGTGCAGCCCCATGCCTACCGTGCGCCAGGGCGTGCAGCCCCATGCCGTGCAGCAGGTGCCCCACGTGGTGCGCGCAGCACAGCCCCGCCAGCACCCCCGCCACCGCCACGTCCACACGCGCCCGCGCCACCGCGCGCTGCCTCCGCTCCGCCGCTTCCCTCCGCCGCGCCTCCGCTGGCGGGGGTCGTGGGGAGGGAATGGGAGGAGGGGAGAAGACGGAGAAGGGTGGGGTGGGGGGGGGGAAGGGGGAGGAAGATAAGCGAAGGGAGAGGGAGCGGTGCTAGAGTGGTGAATATTGATCCTTCCTCTCTAGTCCCTACCTCCCCCATGCGTTTCCTCTACTCCCTTGTACCTCCGCTTCCCCCCACTACCTTCTTCGTCCGCCTCGGCCGCACTGCGCACGGAGCACGGGAACCCCGCGTCATCCACCAGCTCCGCCAGCTCGGCGCGCAGCGAGTCGAGCTCCGCCGCCTCTGCGCTCGGCTTGGCGGAAGCGGACGGAAACGACGCGGAGGGGGAAGCGGGGGCGGTAGGGGAGCCGGAAGCCTCAGGCGCGCGGAGCGAGACAGTAACAGCCGCGGATTCAGTGACGAGGTTCACGCCGGCGCTAATGACGCGCGGATGCGCGGAGAGCACCTGGCGCACGGCGGCGGCGCAGCCCCCGCACATCATCTCGCGCACGTCCAGCAGCACCACCGCCGTCGCTTCAGCTTCCGCTGCCCGCCCCGCGCCATTTCCGCCAACCTCCGCGAGGTCCGCCGATTCCCGCGATCGCGCGTCTGCCGCAGCGGGGGAAGCCGCCTGGGCTCCTTCTTTCGGCGCCGTTACGGCCGACGCGCGCACGGCTTTCCGTGAGCTGCGGGGAGACGGTGGTTGTACTGTTCGCTCGCCGACGCGAGGCTCGGCGCGCAATGGCAAGGAGCGGCGCGCGGCTACGACGCGTTGGCGTAAACTGCGGTCTCGTCGAGAGGAGAGGTTTGTATGTGGCAAGGTTGAGGAGAGGAGTCGCAAGGTGGGATTGGCGACGGCACGCGAATGAGACAGGCGGCGCGACTGTACTACGGGCGACGACATGGACATTGAGGTGACCCGCGGATCAGACATTGCGACAGCTGCGGCGATCTGCACCGCGGCCATGGCGAGAGGGGTAACTATCACGCAATGTGCAATACGGAGCCGCAGTCAGCTGAGAATGGCGACTAACGGCTCCGCCGCAGCCCAAGACGCGAGCGGCAATGAAGTGAGACTAGACAGGTGAATTGGCTGTAGTGAGGAGGAACAGCGAAGTCTGCAGGTGGTGGTGGCGAGTCTGCTGGTGAGTGACAGCAAAGTGAAACTCGCGGGGAGGCTGATGGGATGATTGGAGGCGGTTGCGGTGCAGAGTGGTGGTGGTGGCGATAATATCCAGACGGACGGCGAAAGCTGGAAACTTTTCGCACAGGACACGATGCTGGTTTAGTCTGATGTTACACGGGTCACTGGTTCGCAAACCATGCACTTTTTGCCCTGCGACAAGATGCGCTGCTCGGGGGAGGAACGTAGGCCAGAAGGCCTGACCTTAGTGGTTGAGAGGAGATTGTGCGAGCGTGCGATTGGCGGCTGAGCTCGGCTTGCGTCGGTTCATGCGCCTGACGCGCATTCATCCCCATACCCGCCGATTCCCCCACCCCCCCGCTGTCAGAACTGCGCGCAAGTTTCCCCGCCAACCTAGCAGAAATGCTCCGCAATTTTCCCGCTCCGCGCAAAGTTTCTTGGGATCTTTGATAAAGCTCACACTGTAGAAATTTACTTGTTTTGTTTGCGCATCATGCATTACGAGTACGAATTGCTTGGAACCCTTTCCCCTGCTTGTTGAGTGCAGCACACGCAGACTCCAGCAAGGCCAAGATCAGACCCACAGATCGCCTAGATAATACCGTTTCCAGACTTGCGAGTCGCTTCCTTGGCGTTCAGCTTCAGTCTCGGAGAGCCGTTAATTCGCCTGAGAACGTGGACCTCTGGTTGCCTGGTTGCTACTAACGTAGCTTGGACATTAGGTTAGGCTTTCAGTCGTATCGAAGCTACGGTGGTTTTTCCGCTGACAGCGGCGTACATCTGAGCGCAGGGTGTTTCTCCTTGTCGCACGGCTATCGTCCGATTCCGCTTGACGTAATGGCCGATTCAGTGACCTTCGGATCCATCAGCCATGGCCAGATGTCGTTTCACAATTGGCTCATTCAATCGCGATACGGTACGTGGATGCCATCTGGTCGTCTGGTCTGGCTCAGCGCACGTCGATTGACACTTCGAAGTCATGCTTCTCGAAGTACATTTTAAAGGCAAATGGCTCTTTTGCCTCGCATTTGTTGTTCTGTTCGACTCTGCTTTATATTGAATTTAATTCAATTTCTAGGATTTTCTATGATCTCTCTTTCCCCGTCTCCCTCCGCCCCACCATTCGGCGCAGTCAACGGCGGCGACGACTTGCAGGGGAGGCGGAGGAAGGGCAAGGCGCGCAGCACCAAGGGGGAAGAGCACGACCCGCGCAACGCGCAGGCGCACTCCCATGGTGAGACGGGTGGTGATGTGTGTGCGTCTTCGGGCTGCATGACGTGCGCCCATAGCCATGGCGATATTGCACGCACCTGGCCATGGCGATATTACCACCTTCCCCTCACACCATGTGTGTCTTACCCCTCTTCGCCATGTGCTGACACCTTCCTTTTTTCTCTCCCCCCCCCTCCCCCCCCCAGCCGTGATCGCCTCCTCCCTCATGCTGCCACCAGACGCACTGCCGCTGTCAGGCAAGGTATGTGGCGTCCATGGCAAGCACCAGGTTGGCAGTCTCTTTTATTCTTCTCACCAGAAGACCTCTTGCCCTGCTCCTCTTCCTCTTCCCTCCCCTCCATTTTCTGATTGCTGCTGGCCCACTGCAGGCTCCCTATCTTTCAACCTTCCCCTCCCAATCTTCCCCAAAGCCCCTCTCCCCCCCCCTTCTCTCTTCCCCCGTGTGTCAGCGCAAGGCAAGAAACGGCTGCTCAAGGACATGGCGGGGCCGCTCACGCACGGGGCCCGGTGGTTCTGATTGCAGCTGACCCACCCACCCACTACAGACTCCCATCTTTCCACCCTTCCCTGCACAATCACTCTGCTCTCCCCCCCCTCCCCTGTCCCTCCCCACCATCAGCGCAAGGCGCGGCGGTGGGTGAACGAGCGGCTGCTCAAGGACATGGCGGGGCCACTCACGGGGCCCGATGTCACCTCGCTCTATGCGCCGCCGCCCTGGGGTACGTTGCAAGGTGTTTTAGAGCATTCCCTAGCCTTGTTCCTCTGCGCTCTCTGGTTTGACACCCTTCTCTTCTCCCTTCTCGCATCGTCTCTCTCGCAGGCGAGAAGACGGAGCGGCCAGTGCTGGAGCGGCTGTCAGACGTGTCTCTAGCCACGCCCTTTGAGGCATTTGTCTGCCAGCAGTACCTTGCAGGGGCCACCTTCAACAAGGTGAGTCGCTGCGCCAGCTCTTGCCACACTGAGCCTCTGTCAAGCAAGAGTGTGTCTGGAGGCGCCCCTTTTGAGGCCTTGTCTACCTGCAGTACCTCATGAGGCCACCTTCAACAGGGTGGGTTTAGAGGGTTGGTGGGTCCCTCTCTCCTCTCACTCGTACAGCTTGCAGCTCTCTTTAAGCCCATTCGGGAACGTCTATTGTAAGCTGCAATGAATGCAGGCAACATTCTCCTGGTCTTCCTGTCTGTCTGTCACGCCGCGCCTCCCCTCTCCGCCCACAGCTGCCATCCCGCAAGGCCAAGGGGAAGAGCAAGCGAGAGCAAGAGCAGGCTGGCACTGGCGACCAGCAGTCGGTGGCAGCAGCAGGGGCGGCAGCGGTGGCGGCCTCGCAGGCAGCATGGAAGAGGGTGCCTGAAGCGGCGAGAGGGGCCATGAGGCGTGCAGCAGACTGGGCTGTGGTGGGGTCCGTTGAGGTGAGTGAGTGGCATTGACAGGCGGTCTGCCTTTGACATCACATGCATCGGATGCAGCATGGAAGCTGGTATCTGAAGCACCTAGAGGGGCCATGAGACGGGCGGCAGACTGGGCTTTGGTGGGGTCCGTTGAGGTGAGTGGCTGTTGAAATGAGTGGCATCAGCAGGTGATGTGCCTTCCACATGCACCACATGGGGGCTGTGCCTGCAGCAGCCAGAGGGGCCATCAGGGGGCCGGTAGACTGGGCTGTTGTGGGGTCTGTTGAGGTGGGGCGCGCATCAAGAAACTGTTGTGCTACGTGCAGCAGTTTTGGCACAACGCAGTTACTGCGTGGTGCGGCTGTATCGAGGTCGATGCATGCTCTGTGAATGCTGAAGTTTGTGCAATCGCTGTGTGCTGTGTCTATAGCAGGATCAGTCCGGTCGCCCGCACTTTCCCCGTCCCGTCTGACTCCTTCTGCTGTCTCTCTCCCCCCACCCCCTTGTCCTTCCCTCCCTCCCTCAGTCACTGTTGGTCGCCTTCCTGCAGCCACCTGCTGCTGCTGCTGCTGCTGCTTCGTCTGCTGCTGCTGCCACGGTTGCTGCTGACGCCACCACTGCCACTGCTAGCAGCGCTGTGGGCACGGCTTGCAGTGGCAATGGGGACATCAACCCCAGCACCGCGGATGGCAGCAGGGAGGGCAGCAGCACTGCTCCGTGCGCAGCAGGCCTCGCTGGGGGTGGTGGTGAGGAGGAGCAGGAGGGGCAGCAGGAGGTGCAGCAGCAGCCTCAGCAGGAGGGGGTGCAGCAGGAGCTGGAGGGTGGGGAGAGGGAGCATGACGAGCATGGAGGGCTGGGGAGTGTGTTGCCGGATTGGTGTGTGCAGGCAGCATGGGGCGACGTGGAGAGTGCCCTGGGGGCGCATGGCGTGAAGGGGGGCGCTGCAGAGCGAGGGGTGTTGGTGTTCGCTGCAGAAGACGCCTTCCTCAGACTGCTGCTGCACGGCATGTGCCAGGTGGGAGGCGCACTGCACAGCATGTGTTATGTTTGCCCATGTGTGCAACTCTCTGACCATCCCGCTTCCACTCCGCTTCACAACCTTCCTCAATGCGCTCCCCTCCTCAATGCGCTCCCCTCCACTCTCCTCCCACCCCCTCCTGCCATGCGCCCCCCCCCCCCAGTTCCACGGCATGCGCTCGCTCTCTCTCCCCGCGCCCCACCTGCCCGCCCACCTCCTCCTCGCCTTCCCCCCCCACCTTGCACCCTCCACTCTCACCGTCGCCTGGCTCCCCCTCGCCCTGCCGTCTCTCCCACCCGCCACTGCCGCACCCGCTCATCATAACACCCCACATCCTCAGCCTCAAAGTCTGGCATCCCCTCCGTCTCAAGATAGCAGCTCTGTCACAGCAGACCACTTCATTCTGCCCTCCCACCACGTGCGCCTGCACCACATACTGCCCGCCTGCCCACTGCCTGTTCGCACATAGCATAGCTTTCTCGAGCTCACTCGCGTGCGGAGAGCATGAATGAACCTCTCTCCACACTTGAAGCGCTCCACGGGGTGCTAGGCTGCTACCACTGTTCCTGGCAGCATGCAGAATTCTTTTCCTCCAGCGGAGAAAGCTGTCGGCCAAGCGGCAAAGAACCACGGCCTCCAGCGTCACGCTTGACAGAACCAATCGCCTCCTCTGCTTCAACGCCTCTGCCTATCCTTCGCGTCACCCTGACCTAACACGGACCTGGTTGTTTAACGATAGTTATTGCCGCCCTTAGTCACTCGTGTTTGTCAGGATTGCGGTTCGCGGTACAGGGTGGAGAGAAGGCCTCTTCCTCCTGGCTCTCCGGCTGGACAGTCAGCGCTGCTGAGTGCTGAGCAAACATTGTCTCGATCCTGGGTATAGTAGCACCATCTGTGTTCCCAGTACGGAATGTTTGGTTTGGTTATTTATGTATGACCACTAATAAAACTTGCTACAGAAGAAAAGGGCAACGTGCACCTTGCTTGCACTCTCACACCCCACCACAAGATACCCTGTAGAAGCAGACCACCTCCCCCCACACCACACCCAGCCCCCTCATACCCCGCCCCCCAGCACAGGGCTCTCAGCACAGCACCCGGCCCTGCCCTCACCGACGCGTGCGCCTGCACCACTTACTGCTTGATTTACCCCGGCCTCGTCCAAGTTCCAATCTCGGGTCCTCTCACAAACGCACTCACTTCCTGCTCTGCGGTGCATGTATGATGGCAAGCAACTCGTTCCCACCCTCAAGTAATTTTAGCTCGCATAGTGTTTCTCAAGGAGGTCTGATTTACAGAAGGATGTTTCTCATGCAAAAATAAGAAATATTTATATGTGTGTTCTGATTTGCATGGGGGTGTAGCTCACATGGTAGAGCGATCGCTTCGCATGCGATAGGTAAGGGGATCGATACCCCTCACCTCCACTTCGCCATTCCGTTTTTCCACTACGTGCCTTCACCTTTTTTCTCTCCATTCTTGCAACTCAGGCCCTTGCGCGCATCATCGCTCCACCCGCATTCGCACCTGCGCGCTCGTCCGCGGGGTCTCGTGGCCATGGCGTCGCCGCGGCCGGTGTGGCTGGACTGCGACCCAGGTGCGGTGGGGGGATGCGCTGGGGGCGGCGCAGCAGCGGGAGTAATCGCGCTGTAGAGGCCGCGCTCCTCGCGCAGATAGAAATAGAGCGCGAATTCGCCGCCCCTTCGCTTGAGTATCCGCTGTTCCGCCTTGCGCCAGCGCCCAGTGCATGTGTTCCCTCATACTTCGCACTTAATGGTGGTTCCCCCCCGAATCTCCCGTGCAGCAACCAGGCGCGCGGAAGTGAGGGAATGTGCCGTCACCCCCGCTGGAGCATCCGCTGTTCCGCCTTGCGCCAGCGCCCAGTGCATGTGTTCCCTCATACTTCGCACTTAATGGTGGTTCCCCCCCGAATCTCCCGTGCAGCAACCAGGCGCGCGGAAGTGAGGGAATGTGCCGTCACCCCCGCTGGAGCATCCGCTGTTCCGCCTTGCGCCAGCGCCCAGAGCGTGCCTCTCCTCAGCTTTCGCACTTAACGTTGGTCCCCTCCCGGATCTCCCGTGCAGCAACCAGGCGCGCGGAAGAAAGCAGCGCGGAGGGGAGCAATGTGGTCGCAATGGAGGGGGCAAATGGATGCTATGATGGCCGTAGTCGCGACCTGGCTCGTAGTCATCGCCGCATTCAGCGACACGTGCGTTGCTTTCTTCGAGGATGACGTTGTGCTGACTCATTGCCTGCAATGCTGATGTCATGCTGACTCACTGCAGGTCACGATGACGCCATGGCCATCATTCTTGCTGCCCACACCCCGTCCCTGCACCTGCTCGGCATCAGCACTGTTCACGGCAACCAATCAGTGAGTGCCACGTGCTAGAATAATCCTTGACTTCCCTCCCCACGTCCCTTCCCCCGCCCTTGGCACCTCCTCTCCTCGTGCTATCGCTCCACTCCACTCCCTCCCATAACCACTCCCCAAGCCCCCCCCCAACCCCCTATTCCCACCCGTCCTACACCTCCGCCCTGCAATCCCCAACCCCCCCAACCGCGCCAGGTGCACAAGGTGACAACCAATGCGAGGCGCGTGCTGCTGCTGTGCGCGCGGCCTGACATCCGTGAGTCGCTCGCTGGCTGGGCCCAGGGTAGCTGCAGGACTTGGGGGGGGGTGGGGGGGGGAGAGACTACCCCAGTGCTTGGATGCCGCCTGTGCGCCGGCCTCCTTGTTCGTGCCATCATGGTAGGCTTGAGCTCGTGCCAACATGGCAGGCTTGAGCTCACGCCTGTAGCACCACTTATTTTCTCTCTTCGCTTCCCCTCACCCCCACTTTCCCCCACCACCAGCCATGTGCTGCGGGCGGGCGGGCAGGCCCCCAGAAGGCCTGTCCCCTGATGCGCACCAGAAGGCAGTGTGCTCAGATGAGATGCACGAAGAATTGGCGACTCGTTCTTGTTGCGCTTTCCCCCTCCCATCACCCCCCTCCCATCACCCCCCTCCCATCACCCCCTCCCAGAATGAGTTACTGCCTCCCATCCCGCTACGCCATCCCAACCGCCATCCCAGTCCTTTCCCTTGCCCCAACCACCAGCCGTGTTCTGTGGCCAGCTTCGCCCCTGATGCGCGCCAGGCGGCGCTGCACTGAGATCCACGGGGAATTGAGGACTCACGTGCTTGCCGTGCTTCCCCTCCCTGCAACCCGTCCCAGCTGTGCTCTGTGGCCTAGCTTCACCCCTGATGCGCGCCAGGCCGCACTGCGCTGAGATGAGATCCACGGGGAATCGGAGTCTCAAATCCTTTTGCGAGTTGTTCCCGCTCCCTTCACCCTATTCGCTACCCCAATGTCAGCCGTGTACTGCGGCCAAGCCAGCCCCCTGATGCGCGCCAGGCGGCACTGCGCCGAGATTCATGGGGAATCCGGGCTGGATGGGCCCGACTGGGGGGAGGCTCAGGGGGAGGCGCAGGGGGAGGCGCAGGGGGAGGAGCAGGGGGAGGCGCGGGGGGAGAGGAAAGCGGGGAAGGGGAAGGAAGGTAAAGGGAGAAGGGAGGATGGGGAGGAGAGCGCAGATGGGGTTGGGGAGGAGAGGGGGGAGGGGGAGGTGACGCCGCTATGGGGAACGGCAGAAGAGGAGGCGGAGGAGGTGGCTGGGATAGTGAGGGAGACGGGTGGGGGAGGGGAGGAGGGGGGGAGAGAAGGGGAGGGGGAGGGGGGTGAGGAGGAGGGGGATGTGCCCACAGTGACTCAGATGTACCGACACATCCGACGGGCGTTCCTTGAGAGGTAAGGACGAGAGAAGGAGCGTTTTGTGGAGGGTAATGGAACCATGTTTGACAGGCAACAGAGGTAGAGCAACGGTGACTCGTGTGTGCCGACACATCCAACCAGTGTTCCTTGAGAGGTAAGAGAGTAGAGTGGACAGACATGCAAGGTGCTTGGCCGGATGGAATGGCCCTGAGAAGCAGATTGTTGCATTTTCATGCAACTCTGCTCTTATCTTGTGCGCCACGTGTCTGCTTGTCTCTGGCTCCTGCAGGCAAGCAGCGATGAAGGGAAGCCAGCAGGAGTCAGGAAGGGAGAAACGATGTTGCAGTATGGAGAGGAGAGGCAATGGGGCCGTGAACGAGGCAGCAGTGGGGAATGGGCATGCAGCAGAGGGCGGGAAGGTGTATGAGGATGCAGCTGGGGCAGGGAGAGTGGATGCAGGCGGTGCTGTGAAGGAACCTCCAGCAAAGAGGAAGCGAGAGGCAGAAAGTGATCTAGAGGCAGGGGTGACGGGATGGATGGCTGACACTGCTCATGCTGCTGCTGCTGCCGCCGTTGGCAATGTTGTTGGCGCTGCCACTGCTGCCTCAGGGGGGAAGGAGGATGTGCGGGAAGGGAGGAAGGAGGAGGGGGTGTGGGGGGGGAAGAGGGAGAGGGTGGCTTTAGTGTGCACGGGCAGTCTCACCAACGCGGCTCTGCTGCTCACACTGCACCCCCGGGTCAAGACTATGATAGAGGTGAGTCCAGTCAAGCACGTGGGTTTCCATTTCAAGCATGGCAATCCTTGCAGTTGTCACTCAAGCATGGCCCTTCAAATTGCATTGCACTTTGCCTTTCCATTGCCTTCTGCGCCTTTCAGACCCTCCGTGGGAAGGAAGGAGGGAAGTGTCATTCCCCGTTGTGCCAAACACATCCACTGCCCGCCTTCTCCGCTCCCTCCTCTCTCCCTCGCCCTCGCCCCGTCCCTCGTCCATGCCCGTCCCTCGTCCATGCCCGTCCCTCGTCCATGCCCGTCCCTCGTCCATGCCCATCCCTCGTCCATGCCCTTCCCTCGTCCATGCCCTTCCCTCGTCCATGCCCTTCCCTCGCACGTCCTTTTTCCATGCATCAACGCCACGCACCTGTCGCACATCGCTCATCAACATCCGTCAACATGGGCAACGCACAAAGATCGTCATTATGGGTAGGTGGCACGAGAACTGTTTGCGTCAGTAACGTTCATCGTCGATGTTCCTGCTGCCCCATTTGAGTCGACTCAAAAGTCACCTCGTCATCGTTCCTGCTGCCCCATTCTTTCTCCCTGCTGCCATTTCTCACCCCTCCTCTCCCCTCCCTCTCCCCCCCCACCCCCCACCCTTCCCCTGTGACTGTCCTCTCCTTGACCTCTCTTCTCGCCCTCCCCTTCTCTTACGCCCTCAGGAGGTTGTCTCGGCCTCGGCAACACTGGTAAGAAACGACTCACCTCCCTTAACCTCTCATGTTTCGCTCCTCCTCTACTTCTCGTTTCCTGCCGCCTCTCACTACCTGCTCCTTCCCCTTCTCCCACCTCTCTCTAAGAGGTGTGCGCCCCTCTCTCTTGTTTCCTCATTCTCCATTCATCCCTCTCATCGCCCACTCCACTCCCCATGTGTCATTCCTCCCTCACTCACCCCGCCCCTGGCAGGCGCGGTAGTGGAGTTCAACATCCAGGTGTGGGGGAGAGGGGTGGTAGAGGGGTGAGGGGTGGAGAGGGGTGGAGTTCAACAGCTAGGTGCGGGGGAGAGGAGTGGATCGTGTTGGAAAATGCTTTGCGAGGCAGCGGTTCTGAGAGCTTGAACGTAAACGGATGGACAGAGGTTTTGATTAAATCAGGATGAACTAGTTTCGGCTTGAAAAAGCCTTCACCAGCAAGTGCAGAAGTGGAGTTCAAACATGCAGGTGCGGGGGAGAGGGGTGGTAGAGTGCATCCTGGGGGAAAGGTAGGAGGGATATGCTGAGGGGTGTCGTTTGTAAAGTGTCGGGTGTCGGGTGTCGGTCGTCGGTTGTCGATTGTCGTGCTGGTTGTCGGTTGCCAGTTGCCGATTGTCGGGTGTCGAGTGTCTGTTTCAGTCCCGCGTTGTCACCTCATAACCCCGTCACCTCATATCCCCGTCACCTCATAACCCCGTCACCTCATAACCCTGTCACCTCATAACCCCGTCACCTCATATCCCCGTCACCTCATATCCCCGTCACCTCATATCCCCGTCACCTCATATCCCCGTCACCTCATATCCCCGTCACCTCATATCCCCGTCACCTCATATCCCCGTCACCTCATATCCCCGTCACCTCATATCCCCGTCACCTCATATCCCCGTCACCTCATATCCCCGTCACCTCATATCCCCCGTCACCTTAAACCCCTCCTGCGCCCATTGCCTTCAGTGCGACCCAGAGGCAGCAAGCATAGTATTTAACAGCGGGTGCCCCCTCACCATGGTGCCGCTTGAGGTATGTTATGTGCAACCCGCTCCCACAGCCCACAGTGCACTGCCCCCATGTACTCATGACCCATGAGCACGATGCAATACCAGCACCCTTCGGGGCAGCAGGCATTGTATTCAACAGCGGCTGCCTGCCCTCTCACCATGGTGCAGCTTGAAGTAAGCTCGGCTCAACCCACTCCCGCGCAAACATGCGTTGCCACGACTGTGCCACGTGCACAGTGATTGTGGGACGTGCACAGGGATTGTGCGACGTGGACAGGGATTGTGCGACGTGCACGGTGATTGTGCGACACGAACGCTGATTGTGCGACGTGCACGGTGATTGTGCGACCCGCACGGTGATTGTGCGACGCGCACGGTGATTGTGCAACGCGCACGGTGATTGTGCGACGCGCGCGGTGATTGTGCGACGCGCACTGTGATTGTGCGACGCGCACTGTGATTGTGCGACGCGCATGGTGATTGTGCGACGCGCACGGTGATTGTGCGACACGCGCGGTGATTGTGTGACTTGTGCGACGGGCGCGGTGATTGTGCGACGCGCGCAGTGATTGTTCGGCCCGCACGGTGATTGTGCGACGCACGCAGTGATTGTGCGACGTGCAGGCTAATTATGCGACGCGCACGGTGATTCTGCGACGTGCACGGTGATTGTGCGACATTCAAGCTGATTGTGCGGCATGCGCGGTGATTGTGCGACGTGCACGGTGATTGTGCGATGTGCACGGTAATTGTGCGACGTGCGCGGTGATTGTGCGATGTGCACGATGATTGTGCGACGTGAACGGTGATTGTGAGACGTGCACGCTGATTGTGCGACATGCACGTTGATTGTGCGACATGCACGGTGATTGTGCAACGCGCACGACGATTGTGCGACGACCACGGTGATTGTGCGATGTGCACGGTGATTGTGCGATGTGCACGGGGATTGTGCGACGTGCACGCTGATTGTGCGACGTGCACGACGATTGTGCGACGTGCACGGTGAATGTGCGACATGCACGATGATTGTGTAACATGCATGGATGGTGTTTCAGCGACGTCCCCGGTGATTGTGCGACGTGCACGGTGATTGTGCGACGTGCGCGGTGATTGTGCGACGTGCACGGTGATTGTGCGACGTGCGCGGTGATTGTGCGACGTGCACGGTGATTGTGCGACGTGCACGGTGATTGTGCAACATGCACCGGGATTGTGCGACGTGCGCAGTGATTGTGCAACGTGCACGGTGATTGTGCGACGTGCACCGGGATTGTGCGACATGCACGGTGATTGTGCGACGTGCACGGTGATTGTGCGACGTCCACGGCGATTGTGCGACATGCACGGCGATTGTGCGACATGCACGGCGATTGTGCAACATGCACTGGGATTGTGCGACGTGCATGGCTGATTGTGCGACGCGCACGGCGATTGTGCGACGTCCACGGTGATTGTGCGACGTGCACGGTGATTGTGCCATGCGCACAGCGATGGTGCGACGCGCACGGCGATTGTGCAACGTCCACGGTGTATGTGCAACATGCACGGGGATTGTGCAACATGCATGGTGCTTGTGCAACATGCATGGTGATTGTGTAACATGCATGGACGGTGCTTGTGCGACGCTCACGGTGATTGTGCGACGTGCACGGTGATTGTGCGACGTGCACGGTGATTGTGCGACGTGCACGGTGAATGTGCGACGTGCACCGGGATTGTGCGACGTGCATGGTGATTGTGCGACGTGCACGGTGATTGTGCGACGTGCACCGGGATTGTGCGACATGCACGGTGATTGTGCGACGTGCACGGTGATCGTGCGACGCGCACGATGATTGTGCGACGTGCACGGTGAATGTGCAACATGCACGGGGATTGTGCAACATGCATGGTGATTGTGCAACATGCATGGTGACTGTGTAACGTGCATGGACGGTGCTTCTGCGACGTCCCCGGTGATTGTGCGACGTGCACAGTGATTGTGCGACATGCACGGTGATTGCGCGACGTGCACTGTGATTGTGCGACGTGCACGCTGATAATGCGACGCGCATGGTGATTGTGCGACGTGCATGGATGGTGATTGTGCAACGTCTCTGGTGATTGTGCGACGTGCACGGTGATTGTGCAACGTGCGCGGTGATTGTGCGACATGCACGGTGATTGTGCGACATGCACGGTGATTGTGCGACGTGCGCGGTGATTGTGCGACGTGCACGCTGATTATGCGACGTCCTTGGTTATTGTGCGACGTGCACGCTGCTTGTGCGACGCGCATGGTGGTTGTGCGACGTCTCTGGTGATTGTGCGACGCGCACGGTGATTGTGCGACGCTCATGTTGATTGTGCGACGTGCACGGTGATTGTGTGACGTGCACGGTGATTGTGCGACGTGCACGGTGAATGTGTGACGTGCACGGTGAATGTGCAACATGCACGGTGATTGTGCAACATGCACCGGGATTGTGCGACGTGGACGGTGATTGTGCGACGTGCACGGTGATTGTAAGACGCGCACGGTGATTGTGCGACGCGCACTGTGATTGTGCGACGCGCACGGTGATTGTGCGACGCGCACGGTGATTGTGCGACGCGCACGGTGATTGTGCGACGCGCACGGTGATTGTGCGACGCGCACGGTGATTGTGCGACGTGGATGGTGATTGTGCGACGTGCACGGTGATTGTGCGACGTGCACGGTGATTGTGCGACGTGCACGGTGATTGTGCGACGTGCACGGTGATTGTGCGACGTGCACAGTGATTGTGCGACTAGCACGGTGATTGTGGGACGTCCCAGGTGATTGTGCGACGTCCAAGGTTATTGTGCGACGTGCACGGTGAGTGTGCAACGTGCGCGCTGATTGTGCGACATGCACGGTGATTGTGCGACGCGCACGGCGATTGTGCGACGCGCACAGCGATTGTGCGACGGGCACGGCGATTGTGCGACGGGCAAGGTGATTGTGCGACGTGCACGGTGATTGTGCAACATGCACGGTGATTGTGCAACATGCATGGTGATTGTGTAACATGCATGGACGGTGCTTCTGCGACGTCCCCGATGATTGTGCGACGTGCACGGTGATTGTGCGACGTGCACGGTGAATGTGCAACATGAATGGTGATTGTGCAACATGCATGGTGATTGTGTAACATGCATGGTCAGCGCTTTTGCGACGTCCCCGGTGATTGTGCGACATGCACGGTGAATGTGCAACGTGCAAGGTTATTGTGCAACATGCACAAGGATTGTGTAACATGCATGGTGATTGTGCAACATGCATGGTGATTGTGTAACATGCATGACGGTGCGTCTGCGACGTCCCCGGTGATTGTACGACGTGCACATTGATTGTGGGACGTGCACGGTGATTGTGCGACGTGCACGCTGATTCTGCGACGCGCACGGTGATTCTGCGACGCGCACAGTGATTCTGCGACGTGCACGGTGATGATGGAACGTGAACGGTGATTGTGCGACATGCACGGTGATTGTGCGACGTGCACGGTGATTGTGCGACGTGCACGGTGATTGTGTGACGCGCACGGTGATTGTGCGACGCGCACGGTGATTGTGCGACGCGCACGGTGATTGTGCGATGCGCATGGTGATTGTGCGAGCGCGCGGTGATTGTGTGACGTGCGCGGTGCTTGTGCGACGTGCGCGGTGATTGTGCGACGTGCACGGTGATTGTGCGACGTGCATGGTGATTGTGCGACGTGCACGGTGATTGTGCGACGTGCACGCTGATTGTGCGACGTCCACGGTTATTGTGCGACGTGCACGTTGATTGTGCGACGTGCACAGTGATTGTGCGTCGTGCACGGTGATTGTGCAACATGCACCGGGATTGTGCAACATGCATGCTGACATGAGGCTCACATGGCATTGTGAGCTGACACGAGGCTCACATGGCATTGTGAGCTGACATGAGGCTCACATGGCATTGTGAGCTGACATGAGGCTCACATGGCATTGTGAGCTGACAAGAGGCTCACATGGCGTTGTGAGCTTCAGGTCACACATTGCTTCTTCTGAACGCTTCTCCTTTTCTCCTTGCTCTCGACCTTCTTCCCTCACCCCCCCTCATTTTTGGCCTGCTTCCTTCCCCCCATCTCAACCCCCTCTGCTCTTCTCTCCCTCCCCTCTGTTCTCCCTCCCCCTCAGGTCACTCACACCGCCCTGCTCTTCCCGTCAGTCGCAGCTCGCATCTCCTCCCCGCCCCCTCACTGCCCTCTCTGCTCACCCACCACCCATCCTGCTCCTCCTCCTTCCGAATCCTGCAAGGGAGGGAGAGGAGTCACTAGCGGAATCGACCATGCTGCTCCTCCCCAATCCTGCAACGAAGGGGGTCGGGAGGCGAGCTTGCAGGAAGGGAGGGGAGTCACTGGCGGAACCACCCATGCTGTTCCTGCTCCCCCGTCCAGCAAGCCCCCATCGATCTCCACTCCCACTACCGCTGCAGCCGATGGCAATTCTGCCCAACCCACTGCTCCTGCTGCCAGCAGTGGCACATGCGTGGGCTGCGACACGGGGAGAAAGCTCCGGCAAACAGGTAAGCGACACGTGGCACGGCGCTGACGCCCATCTATCACGTGGCGCTGGCGCTGACACTTTGTGCATTCTGCTCGAGATTTGCGATTTGGTGTCCTGCTCTCTTAGCACATTCAGGGGCCAAAGGCAGAGGAGGCGCTAGGGGTGACACAGAGGGGTTGTGGGAGGAGGGCGAGCGGGTGAGTGGGTGAATGGGTGAGTGGGTGAATGGGTGAGTGGGTAAATGGGTGAGTGGGTATGTGGGTGAATGGGTGAATGAGTGAATGGGTGAGTGGGTGAATGGGTGAGTGGGTGAGTGGGTGAGTGAGTGAGCGGGTGAGTGGCTTAACAGGTGAACGGGTGAGCGGGTGAGCGGGTGAGTGGGTAAATGGGTGAATGGGTGAATGGGTGAATGGGTGAGTGGGTGAACGGGTGAGCGGGTGAGCGGGTGAACGGGTGAGCGGGTGAGTGGGTGAATTGGTGAATGGGTGAATGCGTCAGTGGGTGAATGGGTGGTGAATGGGTGAATGGGTGAGAGGGTGAATGCTCCCCTCTGCCTATCCTCTCTCCCTCTCCCCCCACCCACAGTATTGGCCCTCATGCATTTCTTCGCCTGCACATACCTCGATGTCTTCGGCTTCCAGCGCCCTCTATTGCATGTCCCATCCACCCCCTCCTCCCATGACCCCCTGCGCACTCCCCTCCGTATATCCTCTCTCCCCCCCCCTTCCGCTCCCCACAGTCTCTGCCTTGATGCATTTCTTCGCCCGCACATACCTCGACGTGTTTGGATTCCAGCACCCCCCGCTGCACGACCCCTGTGCGGTCGCCTTTGTCATCGCTCCCTCTCTCGTCAAGGTAAGAGTCACGTGCTTGTTTCCCTTTTGTCACATGCTAGTAGTGCCTGAATCACTCAGCTCTTTTCCTTCCAGCACCCTTCCCTGCACGACCCTCGAGTGGTCACACTTGTGATCGTGCCACCTCTCTCATAAGTAAGGGCCTCCTGTTCCCCTTCCCAGTCCTCGATTCTTTGCACCCCTTGTTGCTCCTCTCCCATTATGTTTTGTCCCGCCGCACCAGTCTTGGCATTCTGTGTTAATTTACGTGCGCAAGTGCACCTTTGTACCACTCCACTAGAACGTCACTGCTGCCAGCGCCCTGCTTTGAGTCGACTCAGAAGCGTACGTCACTGCTGCCAGCGCCCTGCCACCCTGCCTGCCTGAACCCCCAAGTCCCCGGTTCCCTCAATTGTATCCCTTGAGTCTGGGCGTGTTCCCTCTTCCTGTCTGCAGACGGAGCATCTTCGAGTGGACATTGAGACCAAGAGCGAGGTGAGCTATGGACCGAGGAGTGAGCACTGTCTCGCTGTGGAGGAAGTATCTTTGAGTGAGAGTTAGCATTGAGACAAAGAGCGAGGTGAGCGGCTAGGTGACCCCAGCACCGCCAGCACCCAGCACTGGTTTACAGCACGGAGTGAGCACTCTCTCTCTCTGTGGACGAAGTATCTTTGAGTGAGAGTGAGCATTGAGACAAGGAGTGAGGTTAGCGGCTAAGTAGTGACCCCAGCACCGGTTGACAGCACAGAGTGAGATGAGCCGTTGGCCATCCTTGCCGACCCCCTTGCTTCTTTCTTGTGACCCTTCCGATCGTTTTGATTGGCTATAAAATCACACTTGCACAACCCAACCAATCCTGCTCTTCCCTCCCTTCACTCCCTCCTTACTCTCTCGCATCCCCACCAGCTGTCAGCAGGTCAGACTGTGTGTGATGCTTGGTGGCAGAGCGGCCGTGCGGCCAACGCCCACGAGGCTCACTCTCCTTCCCTCCCTCCCTCTACACCCCAATCCTCCCTTCCATCATGTGCCCGCTCCCCATCCCCACCAGCTGTCAGCCGGCCAATCTGTGTGTAACGTGGCAGGGCATCAGAACAGCTCTGATCTCGTCTCACTCCGTCCCCTCCCCTCCCCACCTCCCTATGCCGCTCCCATCATGTCCCCACCAGCTGTCAGCAGGCCAGACAGTGTGTGATGTGTGGCGGCAGAGCGGCCGCCCACCCAATGCACATGTGGCTCGCAGTATGGACGTGCGTGGCTTCTGGGACCTCATGGTCGCTGCTGTTGACCGTGCTGCTGCTGCTGCTGCTGCTGCTGCTGCTGCTGCTGCTGCTGCTGCTGCTGCTGCTGCTCATGCCGCCCTTAGTCACTGAGTGAACAAAACAAGAGCCATGTGGCTTGCAGCATGCACGTGGATGCCTGCTGGGACCCCATGGTTGGAGCAATGGACCGTCCTTGTGGCTGCATAGTGCTGCTGCACATGCTGCAGCTGCTGCTGCCCTTGTGGCTCGCAGCATGCGTCTGGCATGTGTATGGCTTTTTTGAAGGATTTATGGCAGTTAATCATCTCGGTGCTATCGACCCAGGCGCTGGGTCGGTAATTGCCCAGCACTGTGAATGTCGGGAGGCTGACCAACTCACAATTCGGCAGGTGCTTCTTGAACCCACCATTCTAGCATCATGTGTTTTGGGGTGCCCAGCAAGCATGAGTTGGCTGCTTAGATGTTTATTGCATGTACGGTACAAGGTAAACATTATGCATCGAGAATTCATGCACAGCACCATTCACACAGCACAGTGTGTTGCAAACAGCTCAAGCTACACCCACCATCAACAAATGTTTAATGAGATAAATGGTAGGTTATACATAGGTACAGTTGAGAGGAGCAGCAGCACAGCCTCTACTCAACGCATCCAGACACAGCAGCACTGAGGCAGAGGCAGAGGCAGAGGCAGAGGCAGAGGCAGAGGCAGAGGCAGAGGCAGAGGCAGAGGCAGAGGCAGAGGCAGAGGCAGAGGCAGAGGCAGAGGCAGAGGCAGAGGCAGAGGCAGAGGCAGAGGCAGAGGGCAGAGGCAGAGGCCAGAGGCAGAGGCAGAGGCAGAGGCAGAGGCAGAGGCAGAGGCAGAGGCAGAGGCAGAGGCAGAGGCAGAGGCAGAGGCAGAGGCAGAGGCAGAGGCAGAGGCAGAGGCAGAGGCAGAGGCAGAGGCAGAGGCAGAGGCAGAGGCAGAGGCAGAGGCAGAGGCAGAGGCAGAGGCAGAGGGCAGAGGCAGAGGCAGAGGCAGAGGCAGAGGCAGAGGCAGAGGCAGAGGCAGAGGCAGAGGCAGAGGCAGAGGCAGAGGCAGAGGCAGAGGCAGAGGCAGAGGCAGAGGCAGAGGCAGAGGCAGAGGCAGAGGCAGAGGCAGAGGCAGAGGCAGAGGCAGAGGCAGAGGCAGAGGCAGAGGCAGAGGCAGAGGCAGAGGCAGAGGCAGAGGCAGAGGCAGAGGCAGAGGCAGAGGCAGAGGCAGAGGCAAGAGGCAGAGGCAGAGGCAGAGGCAGAGGCAGAGGCAGAGGCAGAGGCAGAGGCAGAGGCAGAGGCAGAGGCAGAGGCAGAGGCAGAGGCAGAGGCAGGCAGAGGCAGAGGCGGGTTCAACTGAGGCAGCAGTTGCACCAGGCAACCAAGACACCCTTCACATCCCGACCCCTCGCACCTACGCTGAGGCCACCTCGGGACCCTGGGCCTCTCAGTGGATAGCTGCCATGGAGCAGGAGATGGCATCTTGGAGATCCACCGGTACCTTCAACGACGCAGTTCCCCCGCCTGGGGTGAACGTAGTCGATGGCCGGTGGCTCTTCAAGGTGAAGCACCCTCCTGGAGAGCCGCCTGTCTTCAAGGCGTGCTACGTCGCTCGAGGCTTCAGTCAGCGTGAGGGGGTGGACTTCTTTCAGACCTTCGCCCCGACCCCGAAGATGACCACTCTTCGGGCGCTCCTACATGTAGCAGGGCTCTCCCTCTCGCCTAGCTTAAACTGCGACAGGTCAAACTCAAAGCCCCCCGATATGCGATGGTCAAACCCACCTGGGCCCACAGCCCATCATTGCCGGCATCCCCTGTGCTACTCTCTTCCCCTTATGCTTTACCCCCCTCACTCTCCCCATCCCCATCTACTGATACTCTGCACTGCTGCTAGTGCAACGCCTACTGATAGGCTGCACTGCTGCTAGTGCAACACCTACTGATAGGCTGCACTGCTGCTGGTGCAACACCTACTGATAGGCTGCACTGCTGCTAGTGCAACACCTACTGATAGGCTGCACTGCTGCTAGTGCAACACCTACTGATAGGCTGCACTGCTGCTAGTGAAACACCTACTGATAGGCTGCACTGCTGCTAGTGCAACACCTACTGATAGGCTGCACTGCTGCTAGTGCAACACCTACTGATAGGCTGCACTGCTGCTAGTGCAACACCTACTGATAGGCTGCACTACTGCTAGTGCACCACCTACTGATAGGCTGCACTGCTGCTAGTCCAACACCTACTGATAGGCTGCACTGCTGCTAGTGCAACACCTACTGATAGGCTGCACTACTGCTAGTGCAACACCTACTGATAGGCTGCACTGCTGCTAGCAACACTAGCAGCAGAAAAGGCCTCACGCTAAGCAGTGGTGGGGTCAGCAGGGAGGGGATCAGGCGCGGGGGGGCGGGGAAGTAAGCCATCAACATGCACAGCCAGGGAGTGCCCATCCGGACGCTGGCCTGTGAGGTGACGGCGGAGATTGACAAGCCAGGCGGCCTGTGATCGCGTGCCCCTCCGCGTCCAGGATGTGTACAGCGTCCGCCATCGTGCGACCTCAGCGGCACAGCTCCACGGCGGCACGGTGACACATCGACACAGGGGCACAGCGGCATAGCGACTCAGCGGCATGGCGACACAGCGACACAGCTACACAGCGGCACAGCGGCGCGGCGGCAGAACTCTCCGGCGGGAAGACCGAGCGGAAGGCCGAGCGAGGCTCACAGGGCCAGCGGCGCGTAGAAGGGCCGGCTGGGGCTCACATGGCTAGCAGAGCGCATAGAAGGCCGGAGAGGCGCGATGGGCTGGCGGGGCTCGAAAGGGGCGGCGTGGCGTGCTACGGGAACGAAGGCCGTAGAGGGCGCAGGAGGGACCAGCGGGGCGCGAAGGCCGGGCAGGGCGCGAGGGGCGCAAAGGGGCCAACGGGCACGCGAGGGGTCGTCGGGGCGCTAAGGGCCGGCGGGGAGCTAGGGTCAGGTGGGGCACGTAAGGGACCAGCGGGGCGCGCTAACAGGGCCGGCGGGGCGTGCTACGGGAACGGCGGGGCGGTAGGCTAGGGCGAGGGCGGAAGCGGGTGGGCGGACCTAACCTACTATGATACCATGTTAGAATAGTGAAATGATTAGAAATGACAGATACAGAGGAACATATGGTTGGGTGTTGTACTCTTTAAGAGCACGAACCCTTCTAGCCTATAACTATACATATGCAAATATGTATAAGTTGACAACCACAAGATAAGCGCCTAATAGTAGACAAAGGGTCTTCTATTACTAGGGGGTCTTATATCCGGGATTAGTCTCCTGCACCACCTTTCAAATTCTTTCATGGTATGAGAGCTGTCTGGAATTAAGACTTCTGTCAATTCGACTATCAACAATCATGACTTGACCATCATCTGCTCCATCATCTGGTTCTTCAACAACTGGACATACGGGTGTTACAAATCCTACAGTCAACACTGGTCAAGCAGGGAACTCTGCAGCTGGAAACTTTCCACCTGCTTATTCTTCAATTGGGATGCCACAACAGCATCAAGGTTTGCCTGTTGTGCATCCACCGGGGACTTCGTCCTCTGCACCTGCAACACAACAGCAACAAGCAGCAGCATCAATATCAGCAACTTTTAGTGGAATGAGCATTGATGGCTCCAACTATGCAAGGGCTGCAGCCGCTCCAAGTTCTGGTTCTTCGTTTGCGTTTACACTTGCTCAACATCAACAATTTCAATTTCTTCAACAACAGCAGCAAGCGCAACAACAGTTTGAGCAACAACAGCAACAACAACAACCGCAACGGCAGTTTCTGCAGCAACAACAGACTTCTCTCACTGGTCCTGTCCTTCAAGCACCGAATCTTTTGAGCAATACACAGATCAAGACAACTGTACCTTTTAATGGCGTTGACTTCTACGCCTGGAGTTTTGAGTTCGAGCTTCTCACGAAATCCGTTGGATTGTGGCCGTTCTTCAGTGGCGAATATTCTTATCCTGTTACGGGAACACAGATGGAAAAACAATGTTTTATTCATGCTTCACTCAGCTCGTACACCGTCCTTGTCCGCAATTTGTCGCTGAAAGAGCAGCTTGGTATACGCTCTCTTCACACCATTTTGACTCCAGCAGAATCTGCGTGGAAACATTTGAAGGGATTATACATGGCACGGGATACAATATCCGTGAGTAAAATTCTCTCACAACTGACAACTGTACATATGCAGGGCAACGAGAATGTTTCGGATTACGTCAACAGGGCTCGAACACTTCGCGACCAATTGGAAAAGTGCAGCGGGTACTTCCCGAAGGACATGTTTGTAACCGTCCTTCTTGCCAGTCTTGAAGCAGAATGGCGGCAGTGTCGATCCCTCCTTCGTCTTCAACCCAATCTTTCGGAAGCAGAAATATGCTCCATTCTTCAAGCAGAGCAACAAGATCTTGACTTGCAAACAGCACATAACAAGAAGGGAGCAGTTAACATCAGTTTTTATTCAACACCTACGAAACGCGTCATCAAATACTTCTGTCACTACTGCAAAAAGGATGGACACAGCAAAAAAAATTGTCACAAGCTTCAAGCTGATAGGAAAAGCGGGGGACAGCAGCAGCAGTCGCAGCAGTTCAAGCAACCCGCGAAGCAGAATCCATCGACAACAACTCCTGCAACATCAGCAAAACACGTTTTTAGCTGCGTTACAACAGTTCATGCAACAGACTCAGATTTCGACGACGACGATGACAAAAATTCTATCCAGCAACCTGAGAACATGGTTTTACCTCAAGTTTATGCTAACCTTGCTCGGGTCATCGCAGGACCGAACACTTGACAGTTGCTGCGGACAACACATGTGCTCTGCCGAGACGCTCTTCATTACTCATCAGCGTCCGCTTCGTCGTCCAATACCTGTCACAGTCGCAAATGGACAAACGATAATGGCAAAGTCAATTGGGAGCGTCATGTTGGATTCAGTGGATACAGGTTTTTCCTTACATGTTACAAATGTCCTCATCATCGAGGGACTCGGCTTTAATCTTCTTTCAACGGCTCAACTCCTACGACATAAGATCCGGACACAAGGAAACTGTGAGACAATGGATCAAGAAATTTATCATAATGATTCAAACACTTACATCGGGAGAGCCGCCACTCAGTATGGGATCTCCGTTCTTCAATTCGAGTCGCAAGGAACTACTGGATCTTCTGAAAGAGTGTTGTCTCTTGGACCTTGGCAACATCCCGAAGAAACTGACTTCCAGAACGTTGACATCGACTTCCGTGCAACTGCAGTGCCAACAGGATCTCGTACAGCAGCAGCGGTTATCACGGCTCTTGATTCCTGGCCAACAAACACAGCAGAGGAAGACACATTAGCATGGAGGAATTATAACGATACTTTACAACAACTTGACAACAAACCTATACAACCTTGGGGACCCAGCAGCAGCAGTGAAGCAGAGGAAGCAGAGCAGCAAAGTAGCGGTGAAGCAGAAACAGGGATTCTGGTCGGTCAACCTGCAGCAGATTCACAAGACACAGAAATTGAGAAAGGGGAATTACTTTTTCAACCGGAAGAAGTTCTTAACGTAGAAATAAAAACCACGAAGTTACCTCTTAATCGCTTCGTTCCCGGCGCACTCGATAGCGCAACCCATGTACCACGCTCTCACATGTGCTCCATCTCGCCTCGGACTTCCTGCATGATTTTAGTGAAGGGCCGATAATGTCCCTCACACACGCTAAGAAAGCTGGAAAATTACAAGAAGTTATTGTGCAGTGGACAGGGTGATAATTTTAGTACCAAGTACATTCAGGGTACTTATCATTTTTTACAAATTTACCCTGATTTTCAAAGGGTGACAAAAAAATTACCCTAAGGGACATGGTAATTTTTTTAGGTACATTGATTACTAAGGGTGCCCCTAAACCAATTTCGAGCCATGGTGTGGGTGTGTGTGGGCTTGCCACTACCAAGCCTAGGGGGTGTGTGGAATTATATATGTTATATAATTGTAAGCTTGGTAGGTGTTATTGAAACCTACTGTAGAGGGTACAACACCCCTCCGTGTATCCCTCCCTCCTACCGTATTCCCCCGTATACAGCACCCCAGAAAATTGAACGCCCATGGGTGGCTTGAGCGGACATGGGTGCTTAATTAAAGTGGATATACATACCACCCGTCTTTTTTGTCTGCAAATATTTGAACACCCCCCCGACACTTTCAACATCACTTTTGAGTTCGAGTAGCATAGACGAGCGATACCCTCTTTTTCGACCACTGCTGCTGTGCCATCACCTGAGCGTGCGAGCTAGTGGGAAACTTATCGAGGAACCTGTTAAATTATATATTGTGTTATATTATTGTTAGGCTTGGTAGGTTACCGAACTATACTGTAGAGGGTACAATCCTCTCCTTGTATCCCTCTCTCTTTCTAGTTCTCCCTCTTTTCTCTCTCAACTTTCCTAGCACCTAAAACCTCGCCATTTCCATGGCTCCTCCTACTCCTAGCTAGAACCGTTCTAGCTCTCTTAACATGGTAACAGAGCGGGTTCCCCCTCCCGGGCCTGCTCCCCACGCTTCCGCCGCGTACTCCTTTCACTCGCGCGCTGCCATGGCGGCCGCGTTGAGCTGCTGTGGCGGCGTCGTCGTGCCGCGTGCCGCGTTGTGCCGCGGCCGTCTCGACGCGCTGCCATGGCGTCGCGCCGCCGTGGCGTCGACGCTGCTCTGTGACAACGTCGTCGCCGCGCGACGCCTGTGGCGCCGCTAGATCTGATGTCACGCCAGTAAGCGTCACGCCATCCATGGCGCGTCGCTGAAGACTCGCCTGCCGTCCCGCCAGTAAGCGTCGCGCCGTCCATGGCGCGTCGCTGAAGACCCGCCCTCCCCCCATTTTCCCCTCCTCTGCCTTGCCATCTCCTCCTCGCCACAGCTATCGCCTGACTTGCGGGGGTCCTCACCGTCGTTGAGACTGGACACGCCGCCGAGAGGGCGGGGGCCGCTGCCGTCGCCGCTGTTGTCGAAGCCGCTGTCGTCGCCGCTGCTATCGCCGCTGGCCGTTGCCGCCGCACGCCGCCGTCGCCACCGCTGTCGTCACTGCCGCGGCTGCCGCCGTAGCCATCTCACGGGCCGTGGGATTGGCCCCACTGGAGTAGTCGTGGCTGCTGCTTGAGAATGGGGGTGCTAGGTTAGGGGGTGTGGGTGTGTGTGGGCTTGCCACTACCAAGCCTAGGGAGTGTGTTAAATTATATACTGTGTTATATAATTGTTAGGCTTGGTAGGTTACCGAAATATACTGTAGAGGGTACAATCCCCTCCTTGTATCCCTCTCTCCTTCTAGTTCTCCCTCTTTTCTCTCTCAACTTTCCTAGCACCTAAAACCTCACCATTTCCATGGCTCCTCCTACTCCTAGCCAGAACCTTTCTAGCTCTCTTAACAGAACCTACCGTATACAGCTCGGTTCAAGATGTGTGACACAGGAAAATTCGGGACCCATTTTGACTGCCCGAACAAGTGGGTCCCTTGAATCCTCGTAACTCAATGTTCGCTACTTGACTTTCGGGTCGCACTCGCCTTCCCGCCAAGAAAATCGTGCCATGCCTCCTACGGATTGGCTGTTTGGTGTTTCACTACTTCCATACGCGATGTCGAGGGGAATAACAAAATACAGCAGAGTACGACAGTGCACTTTGTTTAGGAAATACAATATCACATACGCATGTTCCACAACACCCAAGCGTTATACAAAATTAGTCACTAATCACACCCCCCTCAAAATTTCGAGGCATTTTGGTTACCACCCTAGGGTGCTTTATACGGGGGAATACGGTATTCTCGACCAAGGCTGACTTTATCAGACTATTTACTCTGATTAGTCTGAAATCTCAGACCTGTTTTTTGGCCAAACCTGAATTTCCAGATAAGGCATTTTCCCAATCCTGATCCCTTCAGAGTACGATTCTAGGGATCCTGAGAAAATCAGAGTTGTCGCTAACCCAGTACTGAGTTTTCAGAGCACAGCGCGTACAGACCCTGACTCATTACCTGTATAGTACCAACCTTCGGAAAAATTGGTGAAGTCCCCAATCGCTAGACTGAAAGAAGTCCACCCCCTCGCGCTGACTGAAGCCTCTAGCCACGTAACGCGCCTTGAACACAGGCGGCTCTCCAGGAGGGCGCTTCACCTTGAAGAGCCAACGGCCATCGACCACGTTCACCCCAGGTGGGGGAACTGCGTCGACGAAGGTGCCGGTGGATCTCCAAGATGCCATCTCCTGCTCCATGGCAGCTATCCACTGAGAGGCCCAAGGTCCCGAAACCGCCTCAGCGTAAGTACGAGGGGTCGGGATGTCAAAAGCGTCTGGGTCACCCTCAGGGACTAGCAGCATGGAACAGAGATGGGGAGCAGCCTCGGACAGGAAAGCAAGCTCAAACTGGCGGTCCTCCAGGACGTCACTGCCGAGGGCAGGAGCACCCCCGACAGACGGAGGACAGGCAGGGTCAGAGACCAGAGCGGAGGCGTAGTCAAGGCGGCGGGTAGAGGCGAAGTCAGCGACCGCAGCGACAAGGGCGTCAAGACTCGACACTGGAACAGACGGGTCGGTAACGAGAGAGGCAAGGACCCGAGGAACAAGAGGACGAGCGGCACGAAAGGAGTCAGACAGAGGAGGAGACGCAACGACAAGAGAGGACGGAGGAGGAGACGGGAGGAGGGGAGGACGAGACGCGTGGGAGCGGAGCAACATAGGGTGAGTGCGCGGGACGGGGGAGACAGGACGAGCACGGGAGGGGCGGCGAGACCAGACGTGAGAGGGCGGCGTCGGGTCAGGAGACAGGAGGGGACACGGGTGGGGAACGAGGGGGAAAACGAGCCGGGGACGAGTCCGGCGGAGGGAACACGGGGCCGTAGACGGGAAGAGGGGGAGACGGCCAGAGAAGAACAGGCGCAGGGTCAGGGGACGGAAGGCCGAGCAGACGGAGGGCGGACACCGGCGGGGACTGCTGCTGCGGCGACACAACACCAACGCCAGGGCCACAAGCTGCGCGACGGCTACCTCCCGAACCCTCCACACCGGCACCCCCAGAAGGGACACCCCCAGAGCCCGAAACCCTGCCAGCACCGGTACCACCCCCAGGCCCGCCGGGACAAGCCACGACAGGAGCCCCGGGACTAGTACCCACCTCAACGCCAGCACCCCCAGAGTCCACAAACAGCGGCAGCGACGACGGCGGCGGCGGCGGCGGCGGCTGCAGCGACGGCCTCGACGGCGGCGGCGGCGGAGACGACGGCTGCAGCAGCTGCGGCGACGGCGGCTGCGGAGGCAGTGGAGGAGGAGACACCGGGGGAGGGACAGACGGCGAGGAC